AATATTCAGGTGATTAAAGCTAACTTGAAAGCGGCCCAGGATCGATAGAAGAGTATCGCTGATAAACATGCCACTGACAGAGTATATAAAGTTGGAGATTGGGTATTCCTAAAGTTATAACCGTGGAAAGGCGTGGTATGGTTCGGTAAGAAAGGTAAGTTAAGTCCTCGGTATATTGAATCGTATCAGATCACCGAACGAGTTAGTGAAGTTGCCTACAGGCTTGAGCTACCTCCAGAGTTATCAAAGGCACATGACGTTTTGCACATGTCTATGCTTCGTCACTATGTCTCTGATCCATCACATGTAATTCCTCCTCAGCCATTGGAGATTAAGCCGGATTTGACCTACGATGAAGAGTCGATGATGATCTTGGATTAGAAAGATAAATTTCTTCAGAACAAGACCGTTTGTATGGTGAAAGTTTTGTGGATGAACCATTCAGTTGAGAAGACCACCTGGGAAATTGAAGAGCCTATGCGAAACCTGTATCCATGTCAATGTGTAGGAATGTCGGGGATGAAATTTTCTTAAGGGGGAAAACTGTGATGACCCGTCCTAAATTGTTATATATATTTTCTCCCCTAGTGTGTAAAGTGACAATATTGCCCTCGTTGGCTTAGTGACATGGATGTACATATGTACTTTTAAATTATTTCCTCGCCATCGTAATTAAATCGTACTCGACATCACGAGTGCATCGATGCGAGTTAGGGCTAAATCGATTTCATAACGAAAAAGTTATGATTAATTGAATACGTAAATGGGTAAATCACGAACCAATTATATTAGCTCCTATTACCTCTAAGCCAATCAGATTTTGGGTTTTTATCTTTCTTTGGGCCAATTGTAACTCTATCTCTCTCACGGTAGTCCAATCAAAAAATATTATTTTCTGATTCTGGCCAATCACACACACACACACACACACACACACACACGTACACATTCACACACTCTCTCTCCTTCTCGACTTTTCTCCTTTCTTCTTCCTTTTGCACCCGAGACTCCCCACACGCACAAACCACACCAAAATAGCATGGATCGAACCTACAAAGACTACCATCACATTCCTCACAAACTCACAAACCTAGCCATACCCTTAGGTTTCAGTTTTGGTGAGTTTTGACCGTCGACTTACGAGCTCCGACAAGGAGCCAAGTTGCTCAAACCCGATCCCGGCGCGGTTTCGAGGTTTTAAGCTTGGAAATGTATCCACGCAACTTCCCTAACACTTTGGAATAGTTTTGGAGTGAAGCGGATGTCGGTATAGGTGAGTTTGGAAAGTTTCAGAATTGGTCGGATTTTCCAAGGAATTTTCCAACTGTTTTTCGTAGGATTTTGAACTCCTAATAGGTACGAATGTGTTCTACTTGTCAAGAGCTTCAAATCCATATAAGTTTCATGGATTTTGGTTGAGAAATGAAGTAGATATTAAGCTTTGAAAATTTTCCTGAAACCTGTGAACCAGACGGTGGTGGTGGACGACGGAGACTGGTGAGGTCCACCGGAGAAGAAGAAGAATATTCCGGCAAAGTTGATGGAATATTCTAACGGTGTCAGGTAACACCGTTAGAATTTAACAGAATATTCCTAACGCCATTAGGGTTTCCGTCCCGTGTGCCAGGCATGTGCCTACGTGTGGTCGTGCCTTGGCCAGCGCGTGAGGGCGCGTTCAACATCCAAAATTTATAAAAAAAATATGGGGGTGTTCGTGTTGTCGAGTAGATCACACTGATATATTCAAACACCCCATTTGAGCAACGTATGAGGATTTAATCCTAGGCTTTGTTTATGTGCTAATTAATTAACGTAAAAATAGTTGTATCGCATATAAGTGAGACGTACCTCGAGGACGAGTGTGGACAAGCAAAGCTAGGGGGCTACGATCTTGCTACTTATCAGTGAGTCGGCATTGTTACATTCTTTGCTTGCCATGTCGTAAATAAGTTACATTTTAAATATTGCATTGTTACACTTGTGAATTGTATTGTGTGAGGTTGCGGAGGCTCAGGTAACCTTCAGTTGAGTATTATGTGATTGAATGGGTTGTATTGCATTGGTATCCACACATTTATTTAGCGCTCATCATGGCTGCACCCCGGTATTAGTGCTTTCGCCCGGGGCTAGGGCCAGCCTTCACGTGATTGTTCACCTTTCGCACCGCACACTCACCTTGGATCCAAGTCTGGTGCCAGCCTGTCGTACAGACCACAATAGGTGATTCCAACTCGTAGGTGACCCGCAAATTATCGCACATTCTTCACGTGATTGTAGCACGTGAGGGTACATATTTATACCCAGCCTGTCATACAGGTCATATTAGGTGACTTCGACTCGTGTGTTAGCCTAGATTGATGAGCTACAGGTCCAGTCGTACAGGTCACATTAGGTGACTTCAACTGGTATACTATTTTGTATTAATTTCACACCTGGCTTACATTTATTATTGCTGAGATATCATGACATGGCATACTTTAGTTTTCGCTGCTCTTGTACATTGGTTTTCATACCTACGTAGTAGTATTTTCTGTAAACTATACGAATTTTACGGAGAGGGGTTATAATGTTCATAAAGATAAATACGTTTTCAAACGCTTTGTTTTTGCCCACTCACCCTTCTATTTTGCGCCCCTTCAGGTTCTAGGTAGTTGTTCATCTTTGGTGGCTCATGAGGACTACATGGAGGTTTTGACGTTTCCATAAATAAAAGTGGGGATCTTCTCCTTGTTTGTATAATTAGTACTTAGTTAGTTCGACTGCACTTTCGTTTTACCTATGCTCTGATATGCGTGTACTTTATACTTGATCACTTTCACACACTTACATATTATCTCTAGTTAAATAAGTCTAGTTTTGGTTTTTATTTATTCGCATTTTCTTATTATTATCACTTTTGTTGCGCACTTGGTTACGTCATCCTCATGTATCGGCTAGCACGTCTCGACTTCGATCGAGGTGTGTCAGCAGGGCTAGAGCGGCACAGTTCGGCCGAAGGCTATATGTCTGAAGAATATGATTTCGGACCACTTAACAAATTCCAACACATCAAGTTCCATACCACTCAACGGAACCAAAATACCAAGCGGGATTCTGGACCACTCAACGGAATCCAAACCAAGATACGATTCAAACCACTCAACGGAATCGCGGAATAGAAGGGATTCCGGACCTTTCAACGAAATTCAAATAGATACGATTCCAGACTACTCAACGAATGAAGTTACGCATGTGGGAGAGATAATTAACTTACCACGCTTGCAAATGTATTATTTATGAGAGTTTTAATGAAAAAGAGTTTAGACTAAGTTCATTTTAACCAAAAACTATCTACTAAGTTTATTTAATGTAAATGGCCTGAAATTTAATAAAAAAGGACAAAAACTAAAGTCTCATAAGTAAGAAACAAGCCCACATGCAAAACTAATTTTTTTTTTCCAGCTTATGCCCCTGACGGAAGGTCCTCCGTTAGTCCAATTCCTAATTTTCCCAATCCCATTAAATATTTAATGTCCGCACATTTGTCCATGCATGTGATTGTGAAAGGAATGGAATGGAGGTGATAGCAAGACTCTGCTGGACTTGCATACACATGGATTTTCACTTCTCAACTCTTATTTGAGTCCCAGTTGAAGGAAATTAATTGCAGAAAAAGAAAAAAAAAACGAAATTCAATATTTTTTTGTTTTCCGTCCATCAAGAAGAAGGAGAGAGAATAAGAAAGGTTGATGAAGAGAGAAAAAATATTATTTTATATTAAATTTTATCTTTTTTTATTCTTTGAAGGAGAATTGATGTAGGAAGAAGAAAAAATAGAAAACTAATAAAAAAGAATTGAAAACTTTGAGTTTTAACGATAAGTACAAAATAAAGGGTAAAGTGAATAATACTATGATTGACTTTTTAGTATAAAAATGTGGTTTTTCGTTAAAGTGAACAATACTGAAAGTTTTTCATTAAAGTTCCTTTAATAAAAAGGGTTTGGACCATGAATATTTTAACCAAAAACCACCAACTACAAGAAAAATGGGCTTTGGGTACAAAATGAAGGACACAAATAAGGAATTTGTGTGTCTTTGAACAAGAACAAGGTGGAAAAGTGCATATTCAATAAAGGGCACCATATATTGTGCCCTATGTAAAAGAAAATGGACACAAACACATTATTGGGCACAGGCACGAAAGACTTTTTGTGCAGGATTTATAAGCACAATTGCATGTGTCCATATTTGTAATAATGAAACTTTTATTAATTAAATATATTATGTGTGACACAAAATGGCTTTTGTGCCTTTACAAAGGTAACCAATAACATGTATGTTTCTCATGGTTAACATTGTTACAAACCTCTCTTCTATCTCCAAACTTTCCTCTGCAATTTTTTTCTATAGAATTAATGAGGCCCAAAATATTTTCTCTAATCAATTGTTCAATGACAAGCCAAGAAACCCAAAGTCAAATGTTGGTTCAATTGAAAAGCACCATGAATCACTCACCCCAAGTTTTAAAAGTGCTTTTAACAGAGGACACCATGAATCTCCTACTCCAAATTTCAGGAGTAATTTTAAGTGAAGACAGTCCGTCAAGAGCTACACACCCAAGTGTCACAAATCATGGGCCACACAACTATAACCTCATGGTAATGTACGTAGTTTTGTGTCATATGATTAAATATATTTAAATAAAAGTTATTTTTTTGGGCCAAACATTTAGTATTAAATTTTGTGCCCTAATATTTGGTATATATTTAAATCAAATGTACATTTTGAATTATTTGCACTATATACTTTTTAGATTTCAGACGGCACGTATAAAAAGAATCGTGTCTTTTGTGCAAAATAACAATAAAAAAAAGAAAAGAATTGTTGGTGACATTTTAAAAATCTCATTTTACATTCTAAACTTATTATATTTGAAAAGAAAAATAAACTTTTGACAAATGTAGACTGAAATTTTTAGAATAATAATAACAGTATTAAAATATGAAAAACTTGAAGATAAAAACAGGTTATGTCTTCTCTCTCTCTCCTTCATCCTCTCTCTTCCTTCCCCGTCACTCTCCTTCCCGTATCCTTTCTCTCCTTATTCTGTTTCAGGCAACAGCGCCGCCTTCCACTTGTCACCCAAGACCGTCAAATACCTCCATAATCCTCTTCCCATCCTCCTTCCGATCCTCAAGTTAGTTTCTACAAATTCGTAGCCAAATTTCTTCAATTTCAGATCTAAGAAACATATGATTTTGTTCGGGTTTAGTGTGTTTTGCAGGTGTGAGAGCGGCGTACGGGACGACGAAGAGAGGAGTAGCAGTGGCGTTGATGGGTGATGAGGCCCGAGCTGGTGATGAAGCCGATCGTTTCTCTAGACGATTTGTGATGTTGTCATTATCCTTCTGAAAATGACCATCAGTATGGTAACAACCATTAATAAGAGAGGAATTACTTCTGAACATAATTTCAGTGATAACTCTACTACACCAGTCACCAGCATTAACTGTAAGAAATCATTTATTAGCAGAATTCACTGATTATATCCCATCTTTTTATTTGGTTGATATTGTTCATATTTATACTATAATTGTCAGATATGAACACATTTGATAAATACCATATTACAATTATTCATAATTTGTCATAGTATCATTTTTTTTTCTTTGCAAACCTTAGCGTCCTCGAGCGATAATCTGTGCCTGCACCCCTGATGAAAACTTTGCGCCTGATAGGATAAAAAGAAGTTTAGTGGTAAGTAGAGACATGCATTCTACTAATTATTGAAGTTTCATCCCACTTAAAACTTGGTATAGACACAGGCATGATTTGTACACCTGAAAAAAATGGTATACTGATCTACCTGCACTGATCTAAAGCTTGATCTGTGAATAGTGTATGTGCTGCATCTCTGAACATTTATGATATTTCTTTTTCCAAGTTGTCTCTGTAGGTTCTCTGTGTATTTGCCGACACTTGCTATCTTTCTTAGAAATTAATGTCATAGATAGCTTTGAGATTTATCACTGCTTTTGACCTAAACCTAAATGATTGTCCAAACTTTTATTGTTTTGTACATCTTTTTTGCTAGTAATGTTAGTTTACTAATCATCTAGGTTCTCAAGGAAAGAATTACTTGGCTTGAAGCTGCTGATGAGGACCTTCGTCGGGAACTTCATGAATACCGCAGTAAGTGCAATGGTGTAGAGCCATGTGAAAGACCTCTCAAGTATGTGTTACATGCTCTAGTAGAGATTGACGTTATTCTTTCATCTTGTTTCGTTCAAGTACTAATATATATGATTTTGACATGTACCTTGTCTTGGTTTCTTATTTCACTTTGTAAACTATATATATTCAGCTAGAAAGATACATTTACAAATCTAAAACTTCATTTTGCAGGGTGGTAGCCCCTGCTTTGTCAAAAGCAATGGCCTAAAAAGGAGTTTGCAAAGTTTAGAATTGGGTGACTATCAAATGGGTGAAGCGATAACAGGTATCGCTTATATATGGTTTAGGACTTTGTCAACGGCGTTTTCTTTTCGCAGTTAAATCATATGCAATTATGTAAGTTGTGTTATTGTTTTTGCAAATAGGCTATTAGCTCTTGTGCATTGATAGTGTTGGGAAGTTCATTAAAATGGAGCTATTTTATATGTGGTACAATTTCCTATCTTAGCAGGTGATTCCCAGGAAATTGATGAAGTAGGAATAGAGTGGGAGCACAACCTTATGCAAAATATGATGGACAGAGTTGCATGAATTGAATAAAATGTCTACAACAAAAAGAGGTATCATTTGCGTGTGTAGATTGTTTTGTTTTAAATCAAAATCACATTAATGTCATCACAGAGTTTATGTGTAACTTGCATTTGACGCTTGTGCAGTCGGAGATGAAATTTTTTGAAGGGTCCGACACTGTGGCACTCAAGCAGCATTTTGGAAAGAAAATTTTGGAACTAGAAGATAAGAAAAGAGCTGTGTAGGTTCACTTAAAACCTTAATATTTGATCTTCGTATTCTTGAGAGAACCGATATTCACTTAAAACCTTTATAATTTTAATTTTATTTTTGTTGGGGATAGAACATGTAAAATTCTAGTTTTTATATATAATGGTTGTGAATATCTTTGTAAATTGTAATATTAGATGCTTGTGGTTGTGGGCTGTTTTAATTCTATGAAAAAAAATAATTTTTTGTTTAGCCTCAATCTCAATTTGTAGGTGATTTCGGTTTCTTTTTTTTTTTTTTTTTTTTTTTTTTTTAAATAGTTGACATTTGGGGACAATAACAATAAATGCGCTATCATGTATGAATTATAACTTTCACCATATCTTTTTTTCTTTTTTTCTTTTTTCGACTATAGATATTAAGGGAGGAGCTCGAGATTCCAGGAGTAAATGTGAATGTTTTTTATCAACTGAGTTACAAGTCTTTATTATTTAGCCATATTTAGAAGGACGAATTTAGTAAAATCTAGGATATATGTATAATAGTAAGATGTTTAGATGCTTATGTTGTCAAATTGTCAAATGGTACCATTATTGATTGTATATTTTTTTTATCATAGTATGTCATTCTAATCCTCCTTATTTTTTATCATAGTATGTCATTCTAATACTCCTTAAAATAAGAAGACATTATTTATGAAACAAGACCAATAAGTAAACACTATTTATGAAACCAAATCAAGAATGAGACACTATTTCTAAAACTAAACAAATAGGTGGAAACTATTTATGAAAATATATCAAGAAAGAAATACTATCTACAAAACTAGACCAAGAAAAAGACATTATTTATGAAACTGTACCAATTGCTACACTATTTACGAAACTAGACCAAGAACTAGGCATTGTTTATGAAACTGGACCAAGAACAAGGTCACTATTTATGAAAGTGGACCAAGAATTAGGCACTGTTTACGAAACTAGATCATTATTTATGAAAGTGGAACAAGAACTAAACACTATTTATAAAACTGAATCAATAAGGAGACACTATTTATGAAACTGGATTAATAAGTAGATATTATTTATGAAACCAAATCAAGAATGAGACACTGTTTCTAAAACTAAACCAAGAGCTGGAAACTATTTATGAAACTAGACTAAGAACTAGGGATTACTTATGAAACTGGACTAAGAACAAGACCACTATTTATGAAAGTGAACAAAAAACTAGACACTATTTATGAAACTAGACCAATAACTAGGCCACTATTGATGAAAGTGGAAACAAATTAAACATGTCAAACCATTTTTTGTTTCAATTAATACGAGACTCCCGCTATTTCATCTCCCATTAAACCTTTTTGTTTAGTAATACACATCACACACATTCACGTCCTTTTTTTTTTTTCAACAAATACTAAATAAATTTGCCTTTAAAGATGCTCTCAGGCTCTTAGAGTCCATGTCCCTTTTCTAGCAGACATAATTAACCACGAAGTATTAGTTGAGAGCGAGGTTGGAAAGCAAGGCCAAGGATTTTAGGAGTCGCGAGCAACATCGGTTGTCATATACAACGGTGAACTTGGTTCGCTCAATTTTTAGAGAGAAGAAGGATCCACTGGGAATGAATGAGAACATTGGGGTAGCCTCTTCATTAGCCGGAGAGTCTTATGGTAAATTTCATGCACACCATAAAATCTTTGATGGTAATTTTTTGCAATCCCAGGGCATAGTTCTCAATTCCATCTTGTCCCTCCATCAATTTTTCCTTGAGTAACCATTTTTGAGAACCAAATGGGAATTCCTCTACAAAAATGCTGGAAAATACCAAAATTTACTTTTTTTTTTTGCAAAATAAGAAGCAATACACATTGATAAATAAAATAAGATAATTACAAAGTACCATGATTTACAGATTCTTAGAAAAAAAAATTTTACAGTGGATTTCCAGGTAAAGTTAAGAATATGCATAAATATATACATTACACCAGAATAGAGTACTTTGATACTTTGATTATTGAAGGTGTTAAATGACAAATATCAAGTAGGTTGTGTTAGCTAACTTAAGTAACTGTTTTCTGATGTGATAAAAACAAGAGGAAAGCATTGAGGCAAAAGCATGTTTTTTTATGGGCTTCATGATGCTTAGAGATTCCAGTTATGTGCGAGAAAACTTTTCAAAGTTAATAATCAACTGATGAACTTGCTGCTCCTTAGCTTTGACTTGCGAGTGTCCACAAAGTCCCAAGGAGGAGAAATTGTCTCCAACTTTGTCACCTGCACTTTTCACCCAAGAAAAATAAATTGTTATTGTCTTGAAATGAACATGAGATAACTTCCATCACATGCACTAGACTATGAACTGTGTAAGGGCAATCACATAAAATTCAAAACCAATACAGGCAGCATGTAATTTCTCAAGTTGTATATAGTAGAACCAGCACTCTCGCGTATCATGCAGGTTTTACAACCACCGCTCCGCTAAAACTTAAGTAGAGACTTTAAGTACAGCAGTATTCCTCCTACCATGCTAGGGACAGCTGCCAAAGTCTTCAGCATCATTGCACGACACCCATACCATCTCTGAAACATATATTCCAGTGAACAACTGGGATCATATTGGAATGAAACGAATAAGCTTCAACCAAAATCTTATGATCGATAAAGATGCTGCGATTACAAAACACTAACTTAGGAAGCTTCTACACAGATTGCAGTTCCTCATAATGAAGAGGCATGTAATTACAAATTCGTCTAAAAATGCACACCCATAACCAAACTTAATTCGACATGCATTGATCAATAAAAAAGTGGCTTAATCATTTTTCTTGAAAGGTTTTGAAGTACTGCTGAAATGTGGATTACTGGGAATATGTTCCTAGCAAAGTTACAATTAAGATTGAAATCGATGAAGTACATTAAAAGTGGAAACAACATTAAAAACTAAAAACAAACTCAGAATCACACAGAGTCATTTATCCATTTCACTAGTCAAGAGCACAAAAGATACTTTCCCTTATCCAGATTTTCTTCAACTAATATACTCACATAGTGGAAAGATGAATGTAAAAGTCACAATAAAATATATCCCAAAATTCCAGAAGAACTCACAAATCAAAGCTTAAAATTGTAAAAGCATCAGAATAATTTAAAATCGGTTTATAATAACATAAAAACCGACTTCTTGATGAACTAAAAGATTTCCTTGTTTTACGATTACAACGCATAAGAAAACGCAAAATGTATAATCATATTTAAAAAATAAAACATATAAACTTATTTCCTTGGACAGAGAAAAGCTATAAACTACAAAAATGACTTAATTCTAAATACTTCATGTAAGCAGTAATATAAAGAATCAAACTACAACTGCCTAGCAAACCAACATGACATTAAGATTACCATAAACATATATGCATCCGCAACTGAAAGACCATCCCGTGCAGTGCAAGAAATCAACTTACCTGGAGGCATCGCCATTCTGAGATTAACAGATGAAGTCTTCTACTTCCAACACTCGTTAATGCTCCTCTCTAAGTGAATAGGGTTTTAGATCTTTTGGAAGCCTTAGTGTGGAAGCAGGGACTTCAACTATTTATACAATCACTCATCGACAGAGATCCACTCGGTCCAGCCTATTAACAGAAGGAGTGTTGATCTCTATCTCAAAGAGTTTTAGTCCCATCATGACTTGATATACTAGTGTATATCAGATAAGAATCGAAACTAGGACAGCTGCAATACATGAAACTCCATGACTCTTATCGCATTAGGGCTCTCAAACTCCCCGTGTTTCACACAACCAGTACAACCAGTTATGTGCCACACAAGTAGTCCAGTTGTGATCTCATTGTCATTCAAACAAGGTTTTACATTCTCCCACTCGAATGTCAATGATATGCCTCAATATAATAAGAATCATGATGATCATTGAGTTCCCAAAAGCTTGCAACTGATCCTACTCAGTGACTTGTCATTTTTAAGAAAAATATAGGACCACAGAAAACAAAGCACGCATTGCTTGCACTTTGCACTCTGTGATCACATACATATTTATCATAAAAACACTATGCCACTTTTACGAGTCATGATGTTGAGAACTGATAATTTATACCGTCAGATATCAGTTCCACATAACAAACTGGAATGATTCCAGTACCAAAGTCGTTTGTCAAAGCATAATCAGCTATACAAACAAGTCAATAATAATTAACAACTGTCGAAAATAACAATAAAGATAACTGCAATAAAACCTACGTAGTTTATGGAGTGCTTACTCCCACTCATTAACAGAATCAAAGAGTTCTTTCACTCCCATGTTGAAGACATGTTTCTTGAAGACTCCCACTGGTAAGGCCTTTGTCATCGGGTCAGCTACCATTAAGCTTGTGTGGATGTACTCAATTTCGACAGTCTCCTTCTTCACTTCATCTCTCACTTTTAAGTACTTAATATCCATCAATCTACTAGCATATGACCTTTTGTTATTCTTTGAAAAGAAAACTGCAGCTTTGTTGTCACAATACAACTTGAGGGGCCTGTCCACATTGTCAATGATTTCCAATCCTTTCACCATGTTTTTGAGCCAAACAGCTTGTTGAGTTGCTGCATAGCACCCTATAAACTCAGCTTCCATGGTTGAGGATGCAATACTCTTCTGTTTTGCACTTTTCCACGATACTGCACCATTAGCCAACAGAAAAATGTAACCATTCGTCGATTTTCTGTCGTCCACACATCCTGCCAAGTCTGAATCTGTGAATCCCACCAACTCCAGCTTGTCCACATAACTGTAAGTTAACATGAAATCTCTTGTTCTTTTAAGATACCTCAGTACCTTTTTCGCTGCAACCCAATGTGCTGTACCAGGATTTGATTGAAACCTTCCTAGTACACTTACTGCAAAAGCCAGGTCCGGTCTTGTGCATACCTGGGCATACATAAGGCTCCCTACAAGAGATGCATAGGGCTTATCCCTCATTCCTTCCTTCTCTAATTCATTTTTGGGACATTGATCACTGCTCAGTTTGTCTCCTTTGCCAATAGGCAATTCTCCATTCGAACACTTGTCCATATTGAATCTTTTAGTGACTCTGTCGATGTACTGCCTTTGGGAGAGACCAAGAGACTTCTTAGCACGATCTCTTACAATTTCTATTCCCAAAACAAATCGAGCTTCCCCCAAGTCCTTCATGTCAAAGTTTTGAATGAGCATACTCTTAGTTGTCTGTAGTAGAGACATATCGGAGCTAGCTAATAATATATCGTCCACATACAACACTAAGAATATAACCTTTGACCCAAGAACTTTCAGATAAATGCACTCATCCATTTTGTTTTCTTGAAAACCTGAAGCTGCCATTACCTGATCGAATTTCTTATTCCATTGCCTCGAGGCTTGTTTTAAGCCGTATATAGACTTATTCAACTTACAAACCATCGTTTCTTTCCCCCTTTCAACAAATCCAGGTGCTTGTTGCATGTATATATCTTCTTCAAGGTCTCCATTCAGAAATGCCGTCTTGACATCCATTTGGTGAAGCTCTAAATCAAAGTGTGCCGTGATAGCTAGGATTATTCTCATGGAATCTTTTGTGGAGACTGGAGAAAACGTCTCATTGTAGTCAATTCCTTCCCTTTGTGTAAAACCCTTCGCTACTAGCCTTGCTTTGTGTTTGTCAATGTTGCCTTGTGAGTCTCGTTTTGTCTTGAACACTCACCTGCAACCAATGATTTTTGTTGTCCCAGTTGGCTGTGGAACTAGACTCCACACATTGTTTTTCTCCATAGATTCCAGTTCTTCATGCATGGCTTGTTTCCATAACGTTGATCGTGCACTTGATATTGCTTGATTGTAGGACAAGGGATCATCTTCATCACCTATAGTGTGTTCTGCCTCATTTAGGTACACGAAATCAGGCAATAATACTGCTTTACGTACTCGCTGTGATTTGCGAATATTCGATTCCAACCTTGTAGTGACTGGGGCATTTATGAGATCTTCTTCAGTTGTTTGTACAGGTGCATGTACTTCACTTTCTTGGACATCTGCACAGGCCATGTGTCCCTCATTTGCTGTCTCATCTTCATAGGACATATGTAAGCTGCTATGAAGAGGACGTGGCTGCATGGGAATACTGAGAGTGGATGCGTGCTGATCAGGCAACTCACTGTCAAGTGGGATTTCTTCAAAATCTGGGGATAGAGCTGCTGAGTTACTGAAATCAGTCTCATCCTCATCTTCAAGAAATCGTGCATTATGTGTTTCCATGACCCTCGAGTGACTGTTAGGGCAATAGAATTTATACCCTTTAGACTTCTCAGAATATCCAATGAATTTGCAACTGATGGTTCTTGGATCAAGTTTCTTCTCTGTTGGATTATAAAATCTGGCCTCAGCATTGCAACCCCATACATGAAAGTGGTTAAAACTCGGTTTCCTTCCAGTCCAAGCTTCGAAAGGAATCTTGTCCACTGACTTGCTTGGTACCCGATTCAATATATAGTTTGCAGTTTTCAGTGCTTCTCCCCAGAGAAACATTGGAAGCTTTGAATGTGCAAACATGGATCTGATCATGTCTTTTAGGGTTCGATTCCTTCGTTCAGCAACTCCATTTTGATGCGGAGTCCCAGGTGTAGTATACTGAGCCACGATGCCATTTTGTTCAAGATAAGTTGCAAAAGGTCCTTTGTGTTGTCCAGCCTCAGTGAACCTGCCAAAATACTCACCACCTCTATCGGATCTCACAATCTTAATGTGTTTGTCCAGTTGTTTTTCAACTTCTAAATGAAATGTTTTAAAGCATTGCAAGGCTTCAGATTTTTCAGAAATAAGGAAAATATATGTAAACCGTGAAAAATCATCAATGAAGGTTATGAAATATGATTTTCCACAGATGGTTTTAATTGGAAAAGGTCCACAAATGTCAGTGTGTATGATTTCTAATAGACATTGGCTACGGTTTGACCCTATTTTCCTAGTATTAGTGAGCTTTCCCTTAAAACAGTTAACACACTCTTTAAAATTGCTGAAATCAAGTTGTGGCAACAAGTCTTGTTTTGTAAGTGTGATGATCCTTTCTTTAGAGATGTGCCCCAACCTTTTGTGCCAAAGCATTGAGGTTTTTGCATGAGAGAGCACCTTTTTAGAATCAACACTTTGAACATTGAAACATTCAATCTCATAAGTACAATTCATTTGCCACATATCAACTTTGAGATTAGCTTCACCAAGCAATTTATTCGAGTCATTTGAATGGAAAAACTTTACACTTTGACTGTCACCCACAAATGTAAAGCCGGACTTAACTAACTTAGATGCAGAAATTAAATTCCTTCGCATGGAAGGTACATAAAGTACTGGACTTAATTCTAAAATAAAGCTAGAGGAAAGAACTAATTTGACACTTCCTATGGATTCGACAGCAACTTTGCTCCCATTCCCCACATAGACATTGTAGACTTCATTGTTTATCACCCTTGTTTTTGAGAAGCCCTGCAAGGAATTGGTTATGTGAATAGAACAGCCCGTGTCAAACCACCAACTATTAGGAGGAATATAAACTAGATTGGACTCAACACACACAAAAACATTTATTTCATTACCTTTCTTAACAAGCCAATTCTTGAAGCCATTGCAATTCTTTCTTAAGTGACCTGTTTCTTTGCAAAAATAGCACTCATTTTCTTTCTCAGTTTCGACATTAGCAGTTTTCATTTTATAAGATCCTTTAGAGATGATGTTAGCATTTTTAAATGAAGAAGAAATTTCTTTCTTCTTCTTCTTACCAGCAGCCACGGTTGAACCTTGATTGAAGTGCCTTTTGCGTTTTTCTCCTTGCACAAAATTCACATCCACTGATTTGTCACTCCTGAGCCGATCTTCTTCTTGTGCACACATAGTGATCAGTTCATCAATGCCCCATTTAACCTTCTAAGTGTTATATGAAACTTTGAGCTGCCCATATTTTGAAGGCAGGGAGTTCAAAGCCATATGAACTAGGAACTGATCAGTCATGGGTACTTCAAGGTCTTTCAACTTTTGAGCAAGATCAACCATCTTCAGAATGTGTTCCCTGACACTTCCCTCACCATCAAATTTCATTGAAGTAATTTGAGTTAGAAAAGTCCCAGTTTCTGCCTTGTCAGACTCTTTAAACTTTTCCCCAACTGCAGCCAAGAAGTCTTTTGCATTATCTTGTTTTGGAACACCTCCTTTAACTGATGGAGCCATTGCTTTCCTCATAATCATCAGTGACATCCGATTTGTTCTCTCCCACTTCTCAACCTTTGCTTTATGATCTGCCGTGCTCTCTGCAGTGACAGCTGCAGGTTTTTCCTCTCTTAATGCCAAATCGAGATCCATAAGCCCAAGGACCATTTCAACATCCTCTTTCCACTTCTTGTAGTTAGAACCGGTCAAGGTCTCAATATTGTTGAAATTGAGGGATGTCATGTGAGGAGCTGGAGAACCAAACATTAATTTTAACAGTTGTTAGTCATCTAAGTGTTAATAAACAGACGAAAAATGATACTTAATTTTTTTTCCTGACACATAATCGTATAAGCACAGCATCATCTTTGGACAGAAGCCATTTATACTAGATTTGCATAGCCAAAATATTGAATACAAGGGCAGTTTACACAACTTCAACACTTTTGAGCAGATGAAGAATGTAATCTTGTCAATTCAATACTTCACTATACATTGATTCATTTGTTTAACTTGAATAAATAAACACTTTTGAGCAGATTATTATTCACTTAATACAGATGAATCACATGTTTGACTCTTTAGACAACAAGCCAAAATCAACAAACTAAACACTTTTGAGCAGAATAGATGTTGAGATCCTTGTTTACGATTCAAATCTTATTTGTCCGTTTGGTTTTGATAAATAGAATGTGAATCCAAAAGTTCTTCTTGGTTGAGTATTCCAGTATCGTAACCATTCTTTAAATGATCTTCTCTGCACATGATAGCAAACACAACTGGAGGTATCCACAGCAATAGTTGATTACATATAGTGACCATGCAAACAATTGTCAGTATGCAGCGGAAGCATTTTAATGACACAGGATCAAAACATATTTGCATGTATTTATATCGAGAGTTAACCATATATTGATTAAGGAACCCTAGCCATGTTGGGTTGGCTCTGATACCACATGTAAGCAGTAATATAAAGAATCAAACTACAACTGCCTAGCAAACCAACATGACATTAAGATTACCATAAACATATATGCATCCGCAACTGAAAGACCATCCCGTGCAGTGCAAGAAATCAACTTACCTGGAGGCATCGCCATTCTGAGATTAACAGATGAAGTCTTCTACTTCCAACACTCGTTAATGCTCCTCTCTAAGTGAATAGGGTTTTAGATCTTTTGGAAGCCTTAGTGTGGAAGCAGGGACTTCAACTATTTATACAATCACTCATCGACAGAGATCCACTCGGTCCAGCCTATTAACAGAAGGAGTGTTGATCTCTATCTCAAAGAGTTTTAGTCCCATCATGACTTGATATACTAGTGTATATCAGATAAGAATCGAAACTAGGACAGCTGCAATACATGAAACTCCATGACTCTTATCGCATTAGGGCTCTCAAACTCCTCGTGTTTCACACAACCAGTACAACCAGTTATGTGCCACACAAGTAGTCCAGTTGTGATCTCATTGTCATTCAAACAAGGTTTTACACTTCAATCTCAATTTCGAACCCGACACAAAAAAATAGAATGAGATTGGCACTATGATCTAGCTAAAACAATCAACTAGCAAACAACATTGATCCGAACCCCTAATTCACGATCTGAAGCTATATTTCTTGATTGCTTAATTAGCTATACACATTTGGATTAAACTAGATTCAAAAGCGTACCACGCCAACATCGCTGTAGAATTGTAGTCCATGATAAGATGATCTGCAACAGAAGCCAAAACACATCGTTTTAGGTGCAAATTACGCGCAATCGAGAGAGCGACAAAACAGTAGAAACATCGTAGAGGCGGAGAGAAAGAGAGAGAGAGAATGAGAACGATTGCTTACCTATGGCTTATTTTGCTGATGTTGGTGAAAAGTCCAGGTCCCTTCTCATCTTTACAAAAGGGAGAGAGAGTCAGAAATATTGGGAGAGAGAGAGAGTGGCATCGTTTTGCATGTAAGAGACTGCCTTTTGACAGAGATGGAGTTGAATCAAAATTAAGTTTGGGGTCAGATCGGATCTATAGATTTTGCATAGTGACAGGCATGGAGTTGAGATCTGAAACTAAGAAAGAAAAAATGGAAGTTTTCGAATGTCAGGAAGAAATGGGGGAGGATAGAGACTAGTAGGGAGATCCGTAAATGAAATTAAACGGAAAAAGGCTTGCCGTCAGGGGCAAAATCGGAAATTAATGATTGGGCATTTTAAATGGACCGTTTTAATAGTTTGTTCTAAGTATTAAATAAAGTTATTACTTTGTTTTTGGTTAAAATTCAAAGTTTTCAAACCATTTTTATTAATTTTCCTATTATTTATAAGAGAGATGTGCGACTCGGAATTAGTATATGACATTAATCTTTGAACCTTCTAGGTAGGGAGAATTTTTTTCAAGTTTTTAATATTCAAGCAAGTACTTCACATATTATAAAATAAGTAGAAAGACAAAAAAAAAAAAATATGTTAATTTTCTCCAACTTATAATATGACTTGTAAAATACTGCTCAAGTACCATTGACACCAAATACTCCATTATCAATCTGGGAAATTATCAATATACCTTAGTCATCGCTTTCAATACCTACCTAACATGATTAAATATACCATTGATACCAAATACTCCATTATCAATTTGGGAAATTGTCAATATACCTTACGGATTGCTTTCAATACCTTGCTAAACTTCAAATTTGTTTGACAATATGAATATATGTTCACTGCAATTTTCAATATTCTATTTTAAAGATAAGAGACAAAGACTTCAACACAAAGTGTAGAAAATTCAAATCTCTAATGTTATTCATACCATATTTTTACATTAACTTAGGTGGCATGTGATGTGGACAACCACATCATTTGAAAAATTTGCAAAACCCAAGGAAAAGAAGGAGAAATGGCTGATTTGGTATTGCTGTGAAAATAAGCTCATTTTTGCTGCTTTACGTTTTCAGCTTTTTCTTTCACCTAAAACTGTGAAAACAAGTTGTTTTTAAGTGTTTACCAAACACCTTTTTTAGCTCAGTTTTTTTTATACCCATAAAAGCATCTCAGTACCAAACCGGTACAAAAACTCCTCATATACCACAATCATCATTTAATTAACTAGTTTTTTTTAATTATTAGTTTATTAAATATTAAACTAAATTTAAAATTCTAATTAATTCAAATAACGTGATTATCCACATCAAATATCATCTAAAGTGATGTGAAAATATGATACAAAAATTTGATATAAATAACATTACTCAATCTTCTTACACAAATACCATCTCATATATTAATTAAGAAAGAATATTCAAGGGTTTCTAGATTGTCGTGCTCGTTCACAATTGATTAAGGGCCTTTTTTTTTTCTTTATACTTTTGCCTGGTGGTAGCTTTTTTCTTAAATTTTGAAATAAATTGAAAGAAAAAAACTTTTCAAAATTCACAAGAAGTTCAAGGTTTCTCCCATTTTCTTTAAGTTTAATAGGAAAAACTTAAACAGGTCAAAAATCTAGTGCTAGTTGTTTAGAATCCATCTACTGAAGCACAAGTAGCATCTAAGTAAGGAACGGACCCGCCTGCAAAGTCAGAGTTTAGGTGGGATAACAAAAACAAATAAAGGATATGCAAATTAATAATGCATCTCACTATAAGTAAAGCCCTGAGTTGCTTAAAAAAATACCCTGCTAGACTTTAAATTTGTTTGACAATATGAATATATGTTCACACTGCAATTTTCAATAGTCTATTTTAAAGATAAGAGACAAAGACTTCAACACAAAGTGTAAGAAAATACCCTGCTAGACTTTAAATTTGTTTGACAATATGCATATATGTTCACACTGCAATTTTCAATATTCTATTTTAAAGATAAGAGACAAAGACTTCAACACAAAGTGTAAGAAAATTTAAATATTCTTGAGTAATGTTATTCATATCATATTTTTATACTACCTTAGGTGACATATGATGTGGACAGCCACATTATTTGAAAAATTTGAGGAGAAAGTGTTGATTTGGTATTGCTGTGTTTTGAAGAAAAAAAAACAGTTTCTGCTATGCTATGAGAATAAGCTTATTTTTGCTACTTCACGTTTTCAGCTTTTTTTCACCTAAAATTATGAAAAAAGTTGTTTTTAAGTGTTTACCAAACACTTTTTTTAGCTCAGTTTTTTTTATATCCACTTTTTATAAAAACACCTCAGTACCAAATCAGTACAAAGACTCCTCATATACCACAATTATCATTTAATTAACTAGTTTTTTTTAATTATTACTTTATTAAATAATGAACTAAATTTAAAAATCTGATTAATTCAAATAATGTGGCTATCCATATCAAATGTCATCTAAGGTAGTATGAAAATATAGTACAAAAACATGATATGAATAGTCTTACTCAATCTTATTAGGCAAATACCGTCTCATATATTAATTAAGAAAGAATATTCAAAGGTTTCTAGATTGTCGTGCTCGTTGACAATTGACTACGGGCCTTTTTGTTTCTATATACTTTTTCAATTTGCCTGGTGTAGCTTTTATCTTAAATTTTGAAATAAATTAATAAAAAATAAAACTTTTCAAAATTCGCTAGAAATTCAAGGTTTCTCCCATTTTCTTGAAGTTTAATAGCAAAAACTTCAACAGGCCAAAAATCTAGTGCTAGTTGTTTAGAATCCATCTACCGAGGCACAGGTAGTATCTAAGTAAGGAACGGACCCGCCTGCAAAGTCAGAGTTTAGGTGGGATAACAAAAACAAGTAAAGGATATGCAAATTAATAATGCATCTCATTATAAGTAAAGCCCTGAGTTGCTTAAAAAAAGTATACACAAAAACCATGGTGAGATTTTCAACTTGTTGTGAGAAAGTATGCTTTCTATCTTGCCTTATCTTGTATCTTCAGCTAGCTTCATCACCAAAAAATGCTTTTGCTTCTGCCAATTCCACTGAAGCAGAAGCACTCCTCAAATGGAAAGCTAGCTTTCAAAACCAAACCCAAAACAACCTGACCTCATGGATTAAGGCAAATGAAGCCCCATGCAATACTTGGGTTGGTGTTTCATGCAACTCTGCTGGAAGTGTCAACAGATTAAACCTCACCAATTCTGGTATACAAGGTACTCTACTTCAATTTCCATTCATGTCTTTGCCTAATCTTGCATATGTTGACCTCAGCTTGAATGAACTTTTTGATCAAATCCCTCCTGAGATAAGTTCCCTCACCAAACTCATCTATTTCGATATATCCTACAATCAAATGTCTGGAAAAATCCCACCCGAAATCGGTCTTTTAACAAATCTTCAGGTTCTTCACCTAAATGCTAATAAGTTCAACGGCTCAATTCCTCAAGAAATAGGCCAACTTAAATTTGTCTATGAGCTAGCTCTAAACTTAAACAATTTAGAGGGTTCAATTCCAGCTTCTGTCGGTAATTTGAGCCAATTGACTTCTTTGATTCTCTTCGGAAACCAACTTTCGGGTCCTATCCCTCCCGAAATAGGAAACCTTTCGAAGTTGGTTGAACTTTACTTGTTTGACAACTATTTATCAGGCCCAATCCCTCTGAGTTTCGGAAACTTGAAAAATCTAACCACGATGATGTTGTACAACAATACCCTTTCTGGTTCTATCCCAACTTCTTTGTGCAATTTGACAAACCTTGTTTATCTCTCTCTCTCTACGATAATAAACTTTCCGGCACTATTCCTGAAGAGATTGGAAGCTTGAAATTTGTTGTGTCTCTGCAGCTGACCAACAATCAGTTCAACGGAACCGTTCCCTCTTCGTTTGGCAACTTGAGCAGCCTAGAAACCCTATACCTCCGCGGTAACCAATTATCTGGATCAATCCCCCAAGAGATGGAGAATCTAATGAAGTTGACCATACTTGACTTGGCTACTAACCGATTTTCTGGTTATTTGCCTCGAGATATATGTAGAGGTGGATTGCTACAAAGGTTTAGTGCAGAAAACAACGAATTTTCAGGTCCAATCCCGAAAAGCTTGAAAGGTTGCAAGAGCTTAGTCAGAGTCCGTCTTGAAGGGAACCAGTTTACAAGCAATATATCTGAAGACTTTGGTGTCTATCCTAATCTTCAGTTTGTAGACCTAAGCGACAACAACATGTATGGTGAAATCTCAGACATCTGGGGACAGTGCCCAAACTTAACAACTCTAATATTTGCCGGGAACAACCTTACTGGTAGCATACCATCTAAGATTGCCAATGCAACGAAACTTCAAGAACTTGATTTTTCTTTGAATCATCTGGTTGGGGTGGTTCCCAAGGATTTGGGGAGATTGGCTTCGATGGTGAGCCTAAAACTGAATGGCAATAAACTTTTGGGTTCTATACCCTCTGAATTTGGAGCATTTACTGAACTCGAATATCTTGACGTGTCAACCAACAAGCTGAACGGCTCAATTCCAAGCACTTTTGGTGAATTGGTCAGTTTAAACTACTTGAATTTGAGCAACAACAATTTCAGTCAAGAAATTCCATTTCAGTTGGGGCAGTTATTTCACCTGTCACAATTAGATTTAAGTCATAACTCACTTGAAGGTAAGATACCATCAGAAATGAGCAATATGCAGAGCTTGGAGCAACTGAATCTTTCCCACAATAATCTTTCCGGTCTCATTCCAGCAACATTTGATGGAATGCGCGGCTTGCTGTACGTAGATGTATCCTACAATCACTTGCAGGGTCCCATCCCCAACAACAAAGCATTTCAAGATGCCCACAGCTTTGAAGGGAATGTAGGGTTGTGTGGAAATGTTGTAGGACTACAATCCTGCAATAAGCACGTCTCAAAAAGAAAAAACAACAGAAAACTCGTGTTTGCAATTGTTTTCCCTATCTTGGGAGTAGTTTTACTTGCCTTCTTTGCAATTGTCTTCATTAAAACAAGAAGAAAGAAAGAGCCAGAAACGGACAAGAGCGATATCCATGATGAAGAAGAAGTTTTTTCAATCTCTCTTTTTGATGGAAAAAAATTGTATTCGGAGATCATAAGAGCAACCGATGGTTTTAACTCCATATATTGTATTGGGAAGGGAGGATCTGGAAGTGTCTACAAGGCAAAGCTACCATCAGGCAGCATAGTTGCAGTGAAGAAACTCCATCAAAAACTTGACAGGGAGGAGACATCACAGGAGTTCCACAATGAAATAAGTGCACTAATCAATATACGACATCGAAATATTGTGAAACTTTGTGGTTTCTGTTCAAATTCACAGCACTCCTTTCTGGTCTATGAGTATCTTGACAAGGGTAGTCTGGCTTCAATCTTGAGCAAAGAAGACGAAGCAAAAAAATTGGATTGGAGTACAAGGGTGAGAATTGTAAAAGGCGTAGCTCATGCACTGTCTTACATGCATCATGATTGCGTGCCACCAATTGTACATCGGGACATATCAAGCAGCAACATTTTGCTGGATTACGACTACGAGCCTTGTGTTTCGGACTTCGGCACTGCTAAGCTTTTGAATCCAGACTCATCGAATTGGAGCTCTCTTGCAGGCACATACGGATATGTAGCACCAGGTAAAGTAAAACAATTACAAAAAATATAATGTTTTCTAAATTTGTGATATCAAGTTAACATATACTAATGGCTTGCTCTTCCTTAATTTTTATGCAGAGTTGGCGTACACAATGAAGGTAACTGAGAAATGTGACGTTTATAGCTTCGGAGTGCTGGCACTGGAAGTGATCATGGGAAAGCGACTAGGCGATTTAATCTCGTCCTTTTCATCTCCATCCGTGTGTGAAAACAAATTGTTGAAGGATGTATTGGACCAACGGCTTCCACCTCCTACACCTGAAGTTGAAGATGAACTGACAACCATTGCAAGTGTAGCAATCGCATGCAGGCATTCGCAACCACAATCTAGGCCAACAATGCACATGGTTTCTCAATTGTTATCATTACAAATTGCAACTTCCACTGGAGGACCAAGCATCACACTTGAACAACTCATTAAGATTTGAATTGCGTTTGACATTGTTTGAGTTGGCACGAAAGTCGGATGGGCTTGTTTAATTATATCAATATATCTATATTGTTCTTCCTACTTAGTAAAATAAGGTTTTTTTGTTGTTGTTGCTGCTGTAATATATGTATGTTGTTCTTCAGCCAAGATTAAGTACAATCTTCAATTAATTACAATCTTTTTTTATTGCAGAATCAACTGGATTGAGTTGACTATAATTTATTTTTTGTAGTTGAGTTAACTATTACTTGATTGAAGCCATATGGTACTCTGTTATAATTGCAGGTAAATTAACAAGAAGAGGAGTGCTAGTTGGACTCGCTCCTAAAACCTCGTTTGGTAGCTCGGATTGTATTGACTATTAAATTAGTGAGACGTTTGGTGCTTTATCAGACTAAAAACTGACCATTTAATATTGTGTTTGATATAAGAGATTATTCGAATTGTTATTATTTTATGTGAATGATTACAAAAATTGTGGATGTAGAATTTGGTAATTAAAAGTCCTCATGTCTTATGGTGATATGATCTTTTGAATCGTAAAGTGTTGGCTTAATGCAACGGTCTGTGAGTGGTGACGTGTTGGCTTAATCATTTTTCTTGAAAGGTTTTGGGGTACTGCTGAACTGTGGATTACTGGGAATATGTTCATAGCAAAGTTACACTTAAGTTTGAAACCGAGGAAGTACACTAAAAGTGGAAACAACATTAAAAACTTAAAACAAACTCAGAATCACAGAGAGTCATTTATCCATTTCACTAGTCAAGAGCACAAAAGATACTTTCCCTCATCCAGATTTTCTTCAACTAATATACTCGCATAGTGGAAAGATGAATGTAAAAGTCACAATAAAATATATCCCAAAATTCCAGAAGAACTCACAAATCAAAGCTTAAAAATGTAAAAGCATCAGAATAATTTAAAATCGGTTTATAATAACATATAAACCGACTTCTTGATGAACTAAAAGATTTCCTTGTTTTACGATTACAGAGCATAAGAAAACGCAAAATGTATAATCATATTTATAAAATAAAACGTATAAACTTATTTCCTTGGACAGAGAAAAGCTATAAACTACAAAAATAACTTAATTCTAAATACTTCAATCTCAATTTCGAACCCGGCACAAAAAAATTAGTATGAGATTGGCACTATGATCTAGCTAAAACAATCAACTAGCAAACAACATTGATCCGAACCCCTAATTCACGATCTGAAGCTATATTTCTTGATTGCTTAATTAGCTATACACATTTGGATTCAAAAGCGTACCACGCCAACATCGCTGTAGAATTGTAGTCCATGATCAGAAGATCTGCAACAGAAGCCAAAACACATCATTTTAGGTGCAAATTACGCGCAATCGAGAGAGCGACAAAACAGTAGAAAGATCGTAGAGGCGGAGAGAGACAGAGAGAGAGAATGAGAACGATTGCTTACCTATGGCTTTTTTTGCTGATGTCGGTGAAAAGTCCAGGTCCCTTCTCATCTTTACAAAAGGGAGAGAGAGAGAGAGAGTGACATCGTTTTGCATGTAACTGATTGCCTTTTGACAGAGATGGAGATGGATCAAAATTAAGTTTGGGGTCAGATCGGATCTATAGATTTTGCATAGTGATAGGCATGGAGTTGAGACCTGAAACTAGAAAAAAAAATTGGAAGGTTTCGAATGTCAGGAAGAAATTGGGGAGGATAGAGAATAGCAGGGAGATCCGTAAATGAAATTAAACGGAAAAAGGCTTGCCGTCAGGGGCAAAACCGGAAATTAACGATTGGGCTATTTTAAATAGACCGTTTTAAGATTAGATTTTGTTCTAACTATTAAATAAAGTTATTATTTGATTTTTTGTTAAAATTCAAAGTTTTCAAGTCATTTTCATTAGTTTTTCTATTATTTATAAGAGAGATGTGCGACTCGGAATTAGTATATGACATTAATCTTTGAACCTTCTAGGTAGGGAGAATTTTTTTGTCTTCGTCGGGGGTTTGGAAGATTCAAACTATGACATTGACAGGCTCTTTAATTCTGGTCCAATCAGACTTTATTTTATTTTCTTCCATGCTTAATTACATATTATATTTTTCGATCAAAAAAATCAGTCATTGGCATTTGACATTGAAAACCTCCAACATAATAACAAGAAATTTCGTTGGCCCTAATTTCATCAAAACGTGATTTTGACAATTCCATCATCACCAAATTATTGCAAGTCATTTGGACATAAGAGAAATGCTAAAAAAACTCTTTACAACTTCTTTGTCATCTCATGTTTTTTGAACGATTTATACTATTAAAATAGGAATTAACGTGAGGTAACATAAAATATAAAGTGCTTCACCTTAAAAAAATCTTCTTGGCATTTTACTTGGACATAAATTTAGATGACTTAATGGGCAGAACATTGACCTAGCAATAACATTTGGTTAGATAAAACCCGTTTTGGTGCAGGTCGCATATATATATATATATATATATATATATATATATATATATCGCGTTTTGATGTAGGTCGCATTTAGCGTACTAGCTTGGCTAGGGGAATGAAGGAGCCAAACTTTATACCTCTACTAATGAAAATGGTTTCCTTCCTTGTATTGCTATTGTTATCATCAAAATTAGTTGTTGCCGATGTTTCAGAAGATCCAATACACAGTTACCCTCCCTCTCTCTTATCTCTCATGTACATTAAATTATTGTTTTGACCGTTTGATATCTATTTTATTTTTAATTTCATAAAAGTTTTTTTTATATTATATTATACACACACAAACACACATATATGCTTTGATTTCGGTTTCAATTTTCAAATTTTTTTTTAACACTTACCAAACAAGTTTCACAAAAATAAAACTGAAAAACTAAAAATTTAAAATTTAAATGGTTGTTGAACGAGCCCTTAACAAACATCTAGTCATCTGTACTGATGAAAAGTTTCTTCTTGTTATTGCAGAGGATGCAGCAAGGAAGATGATCATCAGTAGGTCGCATCTGCAAATCGAGATGATTTTGGCAGGGAACCGTCCAATAGACGTACCAATAGGTGATAAACCACCGGGATCGGGATAATAGCTATAATAATGTGTCGCTGTTGCATTGGTTCAAAGTGCCACGTCGACAAGCTTGTCAGAAGGATGGCTAGGCTAATATCTCCAAGCAAGCCTGCCAGAAGAATGATTACTATCTTTGTTTGTACCGAATTTTTCAACATGTTTGTAACACAACACTTACAAATAAGTATTTACAAGCAAAACTGCTTCTGAAAGAGAAAGCCTCAAACAAATCCCTAATGCTTAGTTGAAAAGTTGAAAAACGAATGAATGGACGAAAAAGTTAAATCCAAAATAACTGTTGTTACCTACCATATAATCTTTGTGGAAAAAAGGGGTACTAAAAAAAGTTAAGCAAAAATGTTGTTCTTATTAACAATGTTAGGCATGGTATTAAAAGGCGCTAGGCGTGCGGTAGGAATGGATCTAATGTTTACGTGTTTTTATAGTTTTAATAAGATTTGTGGAGTACTATTTATTATGTAACATAAATAAAGGTTTATTTATACTTAAAAAAATGCATAATTGTGCTAAGATACACAAATTACAAAATAGAATGAGATATAAATTAAAATGTATTCGAAAACATGGAAACAAGCATATAGTGATTGTTCATCCAAGTGTTTAACAAGTCTCTTGTAATTTATTAAAAAACTAAATACAAAATGAAAGTTATCTATTTTTTGTCTAGGCAGGCTAGGTGGGTGCCTAGACAAGTCTAGGGGTCATTTCTTAATTTTCAAACTCTTAGGAATTAATCGGGATGGTGGCCTTCTAGCGGAGATTTTTAGAATGGTGATGTTAGGCATTATGTAGCTGAATTTCGTGAGGCTTTTCATGTGCAAGTGTTTAGTAAGTTCATAGAATAAAGAAAAGCACTTTAAACTCAATTGTAGTATACATTTACAAGGGAGAAGGGAGAGAGATCGCAGAGTAAAAGGAGAGATACGGCCTTGAGGATTTAACATTGGGAAAGATCTTCAAGTAATACAAACATTAATAAAAAAGATCTTTTAGATCTCATAAGATTTCCACATAATCTTTACTTAGGATTTACACAATTACATTTTTAATTAAATTAGAACTGCAACAAACTTTACCAAATAAAATATCTATATTTTAGAAAGAAAAAACATACAATTACAAACCTTATAATTGTCGGAGTTTTAGTACTACATTGATATAAAAATGAAAAAAATAAAGGAGAAATGGCAATTTTGTAGTTAGTACGTACGCAAAGATGAGGAGAGTAACACGAAGTACATGAGCAACACACAAATAGCCTTAATGTATCCATTGGTGGCTAAAATACGTTCGATCAATATCTTTTTTTCTTTTCTCTTCAAATTTTCATGTGTGATTGAAATTTGCATGTGGTTCAATATCTTACTGAGTGTTGTGTTTCTACATGTGCCTGAATTCAGAACTTCCCCTCCTTAAAATTATTGTAATAGTTTTGAAACGTCTCTTTTTCCATAATAATAATATATAGTATTTTAAAAAAATGTGTTAGTAAAATTCTTTTGTTCAATTATGCAATGGCAGTTAACAACTATATCTCTATATAATAAAAATGATTAACGTTGACTATTTTAGGGCTGGAAAAAATTCCCGATCTATACCGAACCTGAACCGAAATTATCTCAAAATTCGAAAATTTTGGTTTGATTATTATACCGAACCGCCCAATTCGGTTTGGTATTCGGTCTAACATTTGTCGATTTCAGTTTTCCTAAACCGAACTGATTTTAGATAATTACCTCAAAAATGAGGCCGCAAGGATTCGAACCCTAATCTCCCTGGGAGAATCATGGAACTTCACCACTGAGCCAACTCTCGATTTGACAAAACAGAATACAGAAAATGGACTTATATGCTTCATAACTATTAGTTACTCATACATTAACATTTTCATCAACCCTAGCCGCCAACCATTTTCCATTTATGGAATTTCATCTCTCTCCTCTCGATTTCAATTTTCAGAGCTGCATCTTGTCTCCCAAACTCTCTCTTTCTCTCGATGGTTTTGCCACCAACACTTGACTCACTAGCTCTCTCTCCTCTCCTTTCACTCGCTTCTCTCTCTCTTGACTCTCCTTTTAGCCATATGGTTTTACTTTTTGCAGGTTCTATCATGCCTTCCAAATTGTTCTACCAATTTACAAGTAAGTACCAATCGATCGGATATCCGTCGGCGTCTCCCCAATTTTCCACGTCCACCTCCACCCTTCGTCATCCCCCTCCCATACTATTTCCCACCCACCAACAACACCTCATCCTGTCTGGTGCCCCGTCCCACTCCACTGGTACCAAATTCATGAAAATCGAGCTTTCATGGTTCTCCAGTGATGACCCATTCAACTGGTTAGCTTTGGCGGAAGAGTATTTGGACTACCATGGTGTCAACCCCCCAACAGGGTCACGGTGGTGGGCCTCCATTTCACTTGTGATCCGGCTTTGTGGTTCAAATGGTACAAATTGCATATTGGATCCGTTTTATGGGCCACCTTGACCGAATGTCTCGTACAACGTTTTGGGCCAGGTGACCAATTAGACTTCAACATGCCCTTCTCTCATGCATCCCAAAAAGGATCTCTCGAGGCCTAAGTTAATGATTTCATTCGTTTGTCTTGCAGAGCCTAAGGTTAGACCAAGGCACAACATTTAGGGGTGTGGGCTTAAGATGGACCTCCAGAATGATGTATTAGCTCAAGCCCCTCATTCTTTGGCCCACGCCATCGAACTCGCCCGTATCTATGACAATAAGCAACAACGATGTCATAGCACCTTCCGCCAATACTCTCCTTGCCCTTCTTCGACATCTCTGACAGTGTCCTCGACGACATCTGCTCCACCCACAAGACCACTTCCCTCATCGCCAACTCGGCCACCGCTGCACTTATCTCCTGCAGAAGTCTGTGAGGGTAATTTTCGGGGCCAATGTTTATATTGTCCAGAGAAATACTTTCCTAGCCATATGATAAGTCGATATTATACTTCATATTTTTGCCTTATCTTAGTATTAATTTATTAGTTATTTTGGTAGAATTTTGATATTTTGTTATATATTTTCAATGTAGCACATTCGACTTCCTCTGAAGAAAAAAAGTTATCAAACGGATGAATTTTGGAGTAATTCCAATGGAGGATGTTCGTGAGCCTTTCAAGATGATTTTATCAAAATGTTAGATTTTTCTACCAAGTCGTTTGACCGTGGCGAAGAAATAAAGGCCCAGCAAGCAGCTTTCCCAAATTGACGTTTCTGGACGCTTTGCGTATTTTGAAGGTCAAGATGGCATATTTTAAGGAAGATTCATCTAAGGATTTGTTAAGGACATCTCAAGCTTTAAAAAGAGACCTTTTGGGACCAAATCAGAGTTGATTTGGTTGGTCATAAGTCTGATTTTCTAAGAAGTTCGAATTTCAATTCAAATAGAAAACCTTTTATTTTCTAATTATCTTATTCTATTATGTTTCCTAGTTTTTAGAAGACTTTTTCTAGGTAGGATTTTATTTTGTGGTAGTATAAATAAGGCTATTTAGCCATTAGAAAAGGAGAGAGAACAAAGGCATCAATTTGGAAGAACTTAGCTAGGCTTTGACGTTTTGTATTTCAAGGTGTTTTCTATCTTTTTTTTTATTTCAATAAAATTCCTTTTGTTTTATGGTTGTTCGTAACTAATTTTCGTTTCCTACGACGATGCCTTGAGCCTTATCATGAATATGTAGTCTTTATTTAATTGCTTATGATATTATGCATGCATACTTTGAATTATTAATAACTGTGTTTAAACTATCTCTATATCTTAATGCTTAGCTACCATTATGATGTTTAGATAAGTAATCAGATGCAATTCGGTCGGAATCCCACTGGCGGATTGAGTATTGCTTCTTGTGATTGGTAGTCGTAATTTCACCTAAGGGCGAATACCGCATCTTAGGGATTGCATGGTTTTTCAAAGGGTTTTCACAAAACATAATGAGTTATGCATGTTTATATTTGATCTGAATACCATAGACGGAATGCATGTTTGATATACGTTCTAGCTTGAATACCACGAGTAGAATATGCCTTAGGAAAACCTAACCTTCAAAATTGCATGTGTAATTCATAAGTAATTGGTAAATCTACATAAGATTGTTAAGGGGACGGCAGAATCCTAAGCTTTTATAATTTCTTTACTTTGCTAATTTCTTTAACCTTTTTAAATTAAATTCATTTTTATTATTTTTAAATTCAAAATTAACTTTTTCCAATCTTTGTTTTCAAGTAATTAATTAAGATTTGGTATTTACATAAATTATTCATTCAATCCCTACCGAAAATGACCTTGCTTGAGCTGTTTATATTACAACTATCTTGTTCTCTTGCAAATATTTTTAAGTGTTTTTATCACTACTTCTGCAGGTGGTAAAAATCCCTATCAAGAAATTGGCACCGTCGCAGGGGATTGTTATATATAATTTGGGTTTTTCATATTTTGTTGCGTTTAATGGGTTTATTGTGGAAAATGAGTTAAACCCACAAGTGCATTTGATGCTTTAAGCTTTGTGTATGATGGAGTCTTGTCGGAAATCTGTAAAAACTCTGGCTTTGATGGGTTTTCTAGGTTTTCTTCGATTTCATGATCTAGGTGTTCTTCAAAATTTGATGGGTTCAATAAAACTGGTTGTTTCTTGAAGATCCGGACCTCGAACCAGAAAGAATAGTATAGCTCCATTACTTCATCTGCTTCCATCAATGGCGAGGCGGTTGAAGAAAAAAAATGGCGTGAAAGTGGAAGAATAAACGGGAGAAGAAGCAGGATTGAACGGGGAAAGAAGGAGAAGACTCTCGTATACCACAGGTCCACAATCACCATTGAATTTCAGCTTTTTTTTTTCCCCTTAATTATTGGTTTATTAAATGATTTTTAATTTAAATTAAATTCTGATTAATTTAAATGATGTGGTTGTCCATATCATATGTCATATAAGGTGGTATATAAATGTGTTATAAAAATATGGTAAGAATAGCATTACTGCTAAAAGAATATTGTCTACAAAGAAAATTCCTTATATTATAATTTTTAAATATAGGAACTAAAATATTAAAAAATTATCATTCAGTTCATTAAAATATTGTAACCATTGATAAAAATAAAAAAACTATCTCTACCATTAATTTTTCAAGAATTAAAAGAAAAAAAAGAGAAATGAAAAGTTGCCCCACTTGGTTGTAGGAACTTCATTTAGGATCTTCATTTTGAAGACATGTGAAAACTCTTTTTATAATAGCGGTTAGATTTAATCCACTGGTACATGTTCATTTAATTTAAAAAGCCAAGTCCATTTACCAACAACCTGTTTCATTTTTTGACCGGCATCTTGTACAGAGGTTCATCTTTCTCAATTCTCTCCCATCATCCCTTTTCTCAGGTCTCTCCCACTTTGAATCGGTTTTCAATGAAAATATCATCTTGCACATGATTCAATTTATATTGGTTTGATTCATTTGGAATAACCATAAGGTGCGTTTACCTTATTTAGTTCTTCCTAAGTTCAATGTTTGTAAGCTCAGGTTCGTGCTTGTACTGTCCATGTTCGTAATCTATGCGTCTTCTTAAATAGGGTTTACCCTATATCTTCATGGAGGGATGTTCCATGACTACCTATATAAATCCTTCTCCGTCATTGTAATATTAATTCAGATTTTGAGAGTAAAACATAGCCTTTGGCTTGAGAAAAGAATGATTTCTTCTCTTATCCAACTCTTGTGTCTAACTCTAGGGTGTATTAATCCTTACAGTAGCGAGTTATCAACTTTGAGTGTTCACTTGCATTTTCACTTTATGCCCTACTTATCCGGTCCCAAGTTTGTATCAGTGTTCAAAAGATTTGAGTATTTGGTCCAGCGGCGGCGCATTTTCATGCATGTGATCTTCATGAATTGAAGTGGATGATCTAAGGAAGTGAGTGACCATGAATCCTTGATCACCAGGTGACCAAATAAATGAGACTCAAGAATTTATTACTGTTCTTTCTCTACAAATCTTTAAATACATTATATACTGGCCTTCAAACAAAGAATGAATACATATCAATGAATTCCCCAAATACTGAATTTTAACAGCATAACGTACGGGTGATATTCGTGCTGGCTGATTACTGCTGCAGAACAGTTTTCTGGAGCTTTCATTTTCACATGCCATTTAATTACTTTCTTCTTACAATTCCGTGAGAATAATGGGTTCTTCAAACACTGCATTTACGTTATTCATCATCTCACGTGCACTGAATCCATCATCCTTCGCGTAAAATAGGTCCACCACTTTGCTCATATTTGAAGTGAAGTCTTTGCAAGCTCTTGGAACTACGCTACCCTTCTGCAAAACTATTCTCAGCAGTTCTCTTCTCTTGCTGTTTATAATTCTCTTTAACCATTGGCCATGTACTCCTCCATTGTTGGCACCGACTTTTTTAGCAACAATTCAGGTATGTCTACAACAGGTATACTGCTCATACCATTAGATATAAAATATAATAACACTTCTACTCCCTTGCATGAGTGTTTACTCTACAATATCTCTTTTCTAGTTCATTGACAACCTTTTTGAGCGGTTTGAGGAGTTTATTAGGAATATTTATGAATACTGAATTACAGCTGTAATTGGTAAAGAAATTTACCTTGAAGATATGCGTTTCGAAGTTCGTTAGACATTCTGAGTTATTTCTCATCTTTTTTGGACTGCAACAATATCGTTCGACGGATCAGTCATTGATGAGTTATGGTTTGCCATCAATCTAATGCTTCTACATCATTAGGAATGCCATTGGTATTTTTGCATGGACTCTCTCCCTGATGACCTGAATTTAATAAGTTTGAATCGTACATACAGTCACGGGTTTTGGACTCATCATGTTTAACCCAAGTGTTGAGAGTAAGTGGCAAAACGGGTTAGGATTGGGCTAGGTAAGGGTCCGGTTCCCTGAAATTGTGATTGGATTTTCATGGATGCATGTCAAAGCTAAACTAATGGGTACTGTATTGGACATAGCATATCACTAGAAATTGAGTCCGCGATGCCGCGGATTTTAAAACTATGTTAAATTTGTGAAATATATTAAAACATATTCTCATCCCTATCAAAATTCATATACATGATAACATGCAACAAAGAACCAAAGCAGTTTACAAACATGGTACTTGGCCCTCAATATGCAGAGTCCATTCCCCATCTTCATTCAACAAAAACAATTCATCAGTGAATTTATTCATTTTTTTTCTATACCAAGATGAAAGCTTTCTTAAAAAGCATTAATTTCATGAAAACCATTCTTACCTGATGATTATAGAGATATCTGCACCATAACCGCATTCAGACATCCAGTAATTGAAAGTGCAATGATCTGTTGCAATTGGTAAGTAATACTTAGTCACTCAACAATTACCAAATGGACCAAATAATAAAGAAAAAACAATCTTGGTTAATTCATTTAACTAAGAAGAAAGGCTGTGAAGTTCCGAAATGAATATGCAACCATCTTTTGGAATGTCAAAACTTATTTCTCATATTTAACCATGATATATAGATTCTCCGTGTTTTTATCTTTTGGATTACATGGTGATTACTACTTTTCTCCTTACCAAACCAGGAAGCGGAAACATGGGACCCCCATAATCCCCAGCCCTATGTCCTTCACGTGCCTGAATTGTTGAACAGAAACTCAAGAGACTTTTGTAATGTGGTTGTCACTGCCTTTTCCGTCACCTCTTCTTGATCTCTAACTTTGAGTTGTGGTAGATTAGTGGCAAATGGATTCCCCTTTGCAAACTACATTTCAAAAATAAGAAGAAAACATGTTCATAAAAATTGAAAAGTAGTGTTATAGAATATGTTAACGTCAAATCACGATTTTGGCCTGAAACCACTAAAATTGTCGCTTATATTGGAAAGGGTTTAACAAATTAGGCGTGCTTGAGGACACTAATTCTAAAGATGGACAGAACACCCCGACAATTATAAGTTCTATACAAAAACACTCAAAGAGTTTAAGTGGATAACACAATATCTTAAACACAGATCATACGAACAGAAAACATCATTTAGACTTACAATGCCTAATACTACATCATCCTACAGTTGAGATTCATGAACCGGAGGGGGCAATCTAGCTGGGTTCTGATACTTTGATCATTATATGCTAACCGGGGCAAGAGTGGTTTTCCCCATTCCCCCCACCCCAACAATTGAGATTACACCATTGCCCCAACACTTTTCACTCCTCTCACGTACCAATTTGTCTCGTATTTTCGTCTTGGCCATAGATTGTGGGCTCTACTTCTTCAATTAACTTATAAGTGGTAGTTACAATTCCTAGTCTCCCAGACTGTTCAATCTCTCTATTTTTTAACACAATTAAACTTTAACCTATGTCTCTCGATTGCAATGTGACTCAGTCTTTCCCTCAAACACTTTATCCCCTTCGCAATTCAAACCCAATCGACCAATTTAGTGCAACAAAAGCAAGAGGTGAGTTGGCAAACGCATACCTTCGCAAAGCTAAAAGCTTTTGTGGAATTTAAAAGCTTGGTCCAACTTCGTAAATATGCAATGGAGAAAAATATACACCTGAAAGTGAAATATACATTTGGTTAGTTAAAATTGAGAGCATGTATATATCAAAATTAAAGTAAAGAATATAAAAAATGTTTAGCCATTCATGAATTGAAAAAGAGACCTGTTTTTGAATTTTGAAGAAGATCTTCTACACACTATGATTTTAGGGTATTTATTCGGCACCTAACAAACACGGCAAAACATCAGGTTTGAGAAAATTAAAAAAATGGTAGTAAAAATTCATACTTTCTAATGGTTCCTTTCAACTTAAATAAAAGTTAGAATTTTTAATCTGTGTAAGTGCCAATTTATTTCCCGAAATTCATGAACTTCTTCAAATTTTCATTTGGGTAACATGCAATTCAAACAAAAATTAAAACTCTCCATCTGGCTTCCTTAAATGAATGCTAGCATTTGTCTACACATTTTTTGTGTATGAACGCATTTTTGGAAAATGAGAAGGAGAGAGGGGGAGAGAGAGAGAACGTGAGGGGAGTGAGAGGTTTTTGTTTTTGGTAATTTTTTATATTTTTAAATATTAGAGGTATTTTAATATCACCTGTGGGTGAGACTTCAATAAAAAAAAGTAAAATTTGGATTTGTGAAATTACATTATTGTCTATCATTTTTTTTGTGTTATAGAAGACTAATTTATCTTTTCATCCTCTTTTGATTGATAAAGAGGATTTTATTAATTAGTAGAAATTACTTTAGTCTAAAGTCAAAGGGGGAACGGCACTGTGCAATTTTGGGTTGATTTCAGTTTATTTACAAAATTGCCACCCTGTGGATTTCAACCCAAATTTCGTTTTATCTACAAGATTGCCACTGGGCTTAAGAACGGTTTAGGGAGAAAAAGTAAGGGAGCAGCTTCCAATCACTTCCCTCTCTCCCTTTGAAACAATCAGTAAGCCCCTCTCTCTCTCTCTCTCTCTCTCTCAGTTCAATCAATTCAATTACACGATCTGTATAAATTCTGAGCTGATATACATATACTCTTAAATTCTTGATTTAATATCAAATTTGCTTTTGAAAAACGACTTCTTCTTTTGTTTGGCGATGTATTCTAATAAATTTTCTGTATTTTGGGTAGGTTTATAATCCCATTTAGCAGAGTTATGTCGCTTCCAAATGAAGAAAATGATAAATCCTCTTCTTCTGATGCTCAGGTATTTCCCCGTTTACGTTCAAAACAACACCCTTTTGTTTCTTTTTGCATTTGGGTTTTTGCGGGTTCTGTTTTTTTCTTTCTTTCTTTGTTTTGTATTTCTAATTTATCGTTTGCTGCTGGACAATGGTGATTGTATGTTTTAATTTGGATGTTTTTCTGATTTTGGGTTGGTCACTTTTTTTGGGCTGCTTGAGAAAATGTGATCCCATGTTTTGATTGAATGAAATAATTAAGAGATAAAAAAGAGTGGAGAATTAGCGTCAAGAATAGTGATGGAAAAAATGAGGAAAAAAAGATAGATGTGGAAGAAAGGGGGGGACTGGAAATCGAGGAAAGTGAAGAGAAAAAAAAATGGGGGTTAAGTGAGCAGCCAAAAGAGAAAAAATGAGGAAAAAAAAAGACTTAATGTGGGGAGTAGGCAAAAGAGAAAAGCAAGAGAAGGGAGACAGAACAGGAACAAGGTGTGGTTTTGTTGTTGGTTTTATCCAAATTTTTTATTTGGAATTTGATTTGAAGCTTATGTCTTTTTAGTTTAGTCTAATTTAGTGTTGGTTTATCTAGGTTTGTAGCTAATTTAATGTTAATGTTGATCTAGGCGTTTTAATTTGTTGTGAACTCATATGGGTTTCGTTTTTTAATAGTTATTTTACAGTTGCTAGGAATGACTTTGGCTTTTATATTGGTTTGGGTATTTTTTTTTTTTTTAATTTCATTTGAAGGTTTAGTGTCATTATACACCTTTGCACCACTGTTTGTTCTGTTTTTCTCGGTTTCTGTATATAATTTTGGTAGAATTAAAGTGTTTGAGACTTAATTGAATGTAAGTTTGGTTTGATCACGATGGGTGTTTGATGTTGGGTGTATGATCCTTAGGTCCAATGGAAATGTGTAATTCCCATCTTCCAGTGATAAGCTTTTAGGAATTTACAAATTGTGGTTCATAAAGATCATTCACTGTATAGAAGCATTATGATTTCTGGGATTTGATATTTCATTTAGTTTTGTTATGTTTGGAATATAAGAGCCTGTTTGGTACTCTACTTGAATCCAACCTTTTAAACTCAAAAACAATTTTCAAGTTTTAGGCTTTAAAGACTTGTTTGGTATGACTATTTTCAAAAACTGAACTCAAGACTAACTAAAAAATATAGTCTATTCTCTAAAAACACAAAAAATGAGTTTTTAAACTTAAAACTCATTCCTTTCTTTTCTCTCCCTCATCCCCTCACTCCAAATATATCTCTCTTTTCTTCTTTCTCTCTCCCCCTTCTCTTTTTTTTTTTTTTTAACCTTTTTCATCCCTCTTCCAATCCGCTCTCTTTATTCTCTCGGTTCTTTCTCTCATTCCTCTTCTTCTCTATCTCCTCCGATCCTCTCACTTCTTTCTCTTTCCTCCAATCGTCTCTTACTTTCTTTTCTCCTCTCTCCTCTTTCTCTCTCGACCCCATATTTTTGGATCTCTTTGTCCAGTTTGAGTTGTAAGATTTAAAATTTTTAAATCTCATACCAAACAAATTTTTGAGTCCTAAAGAAAATTGTTTTCATGAAAAATTCTTAAGAAATGTTTTGAGAAATTATAAAAAATTTCAAATAAGATACCAAACAAGCCCTAAGTTTTTCAAATGGTTTGGCTCTTCTTGGGCTGTGCTATGCAAGAAGGTTATTGAAAGAATTTTTACAAAGGGTTCATTGAAGAGCTCTGTGTGTTTACCGTAAGGTACGGTGTTCATCAATCTCAACTTTTAATTTGTTTCTCAATTTTTTGTAGTTTTGGATTTGTAAAAACTCTCGATCGAATCGGTTACTGGCATGGTCCCTTACAGGAGAAAAAAGCTTCATTTTTTTTTTCTTAAAATTATAGTTTTTGTTAATTTTTTCACAGAGGAACTCAGGTGGTAGCTATATTACTAATTAGCTACAGAAGTTATATATTCTTATGAGTACGCTATGAATGCTGGTTTGCTATGTCACTTTTTGGGATGATATTACTATAATTATATAGGAAAAATTGGATTGATATTATTGGTTTGTAACTTTTACGCAGAAATACAAAGTACCCAGAAATCTGAAGTGGAAAAGAAAGTTATCCATCTCTTTTTCTTCGTTACCTCTTTTTCCATTTTTGGGCGACATTTTGTGCTTCATAATTGGCTTTAATACAAAAAATTTAAGCTACTAAACCCCCATATGGTTTTGTTTGATTGATTGTCTATTTAGGGTGTTTTTTAGTTTTGCTTGCTGGGTTCAGATTCATTTGGGTTTATATGTGATTTCCAGTCGATTATTTTTTTATTAGTTGCAGATCATATTTAATGTGGAAGTTTGAATCTTTGTGGTTGTTTCAGTGTAGTTCTTGGGTACACACACATTTATCCAATGAATATGTTCATGACATTGTTTTTAGGGGATGGACAGAAGTCCCAGGCAACAATCTCTTTGTAATCATCGCCGGGAAAATATCGTGGTCATTTTGAGCTCGGATTCAGCCAGCATGTAGTAAGCGTTTCTTTTTCGATTACTTTCATTTGTTTATTTGTGAATCAAAAACTTTTTTAGGAATAATGAATGTCACAATTGTTGATAAATTGATACTTTGTTTGGAGCTTCAACTGTAGATCTGTGCAATTCTCAAGGACCTGCATTAGCTCCTCTCCCTGATCCTCCTAATGATTACGACACATATTACTCAATGAATCAAGCAAGATCCACAAGGTTGTAGTTGATTATGTTTCTTTTCGGTTTACTAACAAACACTCATTCAGTTACTCCCTAAATTTTGATGGCAATGGTGATAACCTTCATATGTACAGAAATTGCTTACCCTATTATCAGTGTTGTCGTTAACCTCCGACAAAAAAAATTCTTTTTTCATAAGCGTTGTCTTATATTAGAGTTGCAATAATCTTTCCATACATGTTGTCATACCCCATGAGCTTGCCAAAGGTACTGACTGGTTGCCGATTTTAGGTTCATGTACATATGTGACTAGCGGGTCAAGTTCCATAAGGAGGTGGAAGCAGAAGAATTGGCGTCACCCTTCAGTTTTTCAACCAAAAGGAGGTAACCTTTATAAATGATTTATACAAGCTTCTCTGTTTTGTATCTCTGAAATTTGAGTTCTTTGACTAAAACTGTGAATAGTGATTGGTAAATATTTCTCTTTTTTTTTTTCTATGGGCCATATGTGTTCTATTTGGGTTGTATTTTGAGTCATGTAATTCAAATTGCAAACAAAAGGCTAAAGAAGATAAATCTAGTACAAGCTCTCATGGAAAAGTTGAAATTGAAACTACACTATGGAATGTTAAATATTTAGTCTAAATCTGAAGACCGAAAGTAAAATAACCACTGAGTAGAGTTAAATTTTTAGCCTCAAATATCCTTAGGCGGACGCAAAATTTTGACCTCAACATCCAATTTAATTTCAATTTTGATAGGGTAAAGTACAAAAAACTACCTCAACTATTGGTCTCACAACACTTTCATACCTCATCTTTTTTAAAATGATAATGTCATATCTTATTTTACGAATTTGTGCCAATGTCATACCTCTGTTAGTTTTTCTGTTAGTTTTTCTGTTAAGTGCTGACGTGGCTAGATACGGGGGTCACTCACTAATCCAATTGGATTAAAATATAATTAAATATATATTTTAATAATTAAAAATTAAAAAATTAAAAAAATTATATTAAATCTCTCTCGCTCTCTCCTCTCTCTTCCCCCTCTCGCCTCTTTCTTTTCTCTGCATCCCCAAAACCCCTTCCCACCCGACCCCCATCCCCTTTCCACCGGTCCCCCCCAACATTCCTCCACCACCCTTTCCCCTCTCTTTCGCATCTCCCTCTCTTCTCCACCGTAGTCTCCTTCCTCCCCACTTCCCTCTCTCGTCGTGCCCAGAACCCCCCAAACCCACCTAGATTTTTTTCGCCCGCCCTCCTTTCTCGGATCTACTTGCAAGCTCGGACCCACTTCCCTCTCCCACTCCATTGCCCATTGCCGATCAGTCGTCGTTGCCGTCTCCGAAGCTGTCAAGGAGAAAGGGAGAGAGGGAGAGCTGTCGAGGTTGGGGCCGTCGAGGTTGCCGTCTTCCCGTAACCCAAACCTAGATCCCACCCCAAACCAGCCACTCCCATTCCCACCAGGTGCCTCTCTTCTCTTCCTCCGCCGCTCTCTCTATTTCTAACCTACAAGCATGCATCAAAAACAAAGCACCCACCAATCTTGATAACACACCATTAACAAAAGTTCAAAAATCCATCTTCCTGTTTACCTCAATTTTCTAAGAAAATGGAACCTTCAGAATATCAAAAAAATTCATTTCCTTTCTCCCACATTTTCTGAGCAACCAAACAAAGCAAAACCATTCAATTTTTCCCAGAAAAAAAAAAAAACCCCAAGTTGTATTCACAAGAGACTCGTCAACGGTGGTGGGCGCGGGATTGCTGCTGCATTTTGCTTGGCTTGAAGATGGTGCTGGGCTGCGGGAGTAGGGGGAGGTGGCAGAGGCGGTCCTCAACTTCTGCAAAGTCGACAATGAAGTCGATTACTTGGTAATCGTGGGGCGACAAGGCTGTCAAGGATTCGTAGAAGTATTCGAACCCATATGGGTAGTTTGGTAAGGAAGGGGAGGAGATCAATGGAGGGAGTGGGTACCCGTAGAGGGGTGAGGTTGGTGTGCCGGAGATCGGCGACTTCGATGTCGTCAGTTAGAATGGGGAAGAAGGTGATGGTCGTTGGTGGATGGAGTCGACGATGAAGAGGAGAGAAGGGAGGGTGAGTGCGAGTTGCAAATGAGAGAAAGGTGGGTGGGGTTGCAGATGAGAGAAGGGAGAAAGGGGGTGGATGGGGAATAAAGGGGGTGGATTGGATTTGGGGAAGATGGGAGGGGGAAAGGGGGTGGGTCCCCATGTAAAAAAAAAAATTAAATGATTTTAATTTTTTAGTTTTTAATATTTAATTAATTTTTTAATATTTTATTAATTTATTTAAGCCAAGCCACGTCAGCACTTAACAGAGAAACTAACAGAAAAACTGACGGAGGTATGACATTGGCACAAATTCGTAAGATGAGGTATGACATTGTCATTTTAAAATGATGAGGTATGAAAGTGTCGTGAGACTAATAGTTGAAGTAGTTTTTTGTACTTTATCCATTTTGATAAGTGAGTTAAGAGTTTTTCTATGACCGTATTACTGTGATAAATGAATGACGAATTGGAAATAGTTTCTTACTTACGTTTTTCTTAAGTGTGTACTAAATTGGATGTTGGTTTGGTTATTTCCAAACTTTTCACATGACTTTCATTACCCAATAGAGAATATGAAAACCCTAAACTTAATTTTGTAAATTGATTTTGGTACCTGCAAATGAGAAAAAGGGTAAAGTTTCTTATCCCTTTAGTGTTTGATCCTGGAATTAATTTATCTGTGAGTCCTGGATCCTGTACATTTTGGGTAAATTTCAACGACTCTCTCTTTTCGAATGCCTTTTTATTTTCTATTTTTGTCTTTGAGCTTCTGCTTTTTGGGTTGTATTTTCTATTTCCCAGTTGACTAGAAATATTGAGGGGGAGAGAAAATTTTCTCTTCAATAACTATGCTTCTATATTTCTTAGGGTCTGGTATTTGATTAATTAGAAATGACAGCTTTACTTGATTGATGTTTTTTTTTTTTTAATCAATTTAAGGTACTATGAATTGGGACCCGACAATCCACCATATGCTGCCAAGTTCTACGACTTTTGTGGGGCTGAGGATCCTGAGGCATCTAGCTGCACTGCCAGTTTCCATGTTTCGTATAATGACGATTGATCCATGTAATATGTCTCTTTTAAGTTTCATCATTTCATTCAGTCTTGCTCTTGCGCTGTAACCAAGGTTCTGTATCTCCAATAATCTCATCTCTTTTATATAAACATGAAGTTGATGCGTAATTGGTTTTTTTTTTTTTTTTTCCTTAAGGTCTCTGTTTATTTTCATTACTGTATTAATGTTTTCAGCTGTTGTTTATATAATTACAAGAGGAGACAGATTAATGGCATGAGGGTAAAAAAAAAAAAAAAAAAAAAAAAAAAAGGGAAGGAGGGAAGGATGAGGAATGCACGGGTTGGCCTATTTTGGCCCAAGATTTTTTTTAGTTGGTTTGGGATTTTGTTTATGTTTGGGGTTCTTTTGCCCTAATTAATATTGTTTTGAATTTATGGAGAATTTTGTTTATGTTTGGGGTTGTCATGTTCGAGTATTTAATTTGGTATTTGGTAGGTTACGTTACAGTTGTTGTCGGTTTTCTTAAAGGACAAATCCAAGCGATAATGCCTTTTTTGATATATGTGCAAATGTTAACTGTGTGGGTTAATATTTGAACATTAGACTTAGATGAAGGAAAGCTCAAGGGTGCCAAATTAATGGGGACTTGCCCGAAGTCCAGCACCAAGCCCAAAGGCAAAGCAAAACTTTCTCAGCCTAGATACAAACCACGTGCTTATCATTGAAGTGACAAGTGATGAAGACTAACCTACTACCAATCAAAGAACACTTTTTAGTGGCATTCCAAGTAAAATGTTGATGACTCATTACCCTTTAGATGCTTTCGGGCAAGAGCGAAGTCATAGTAGTCAGGCCAATTGGCCTATAAAAGGAGGAAGTGGCCCCAAAGACAAGGACACTCAACCAATCAAACAAATAAACATACAAACTTTGCTCTCAAGCCAGATTTGCATCCAAAAGCTGAAATCAACCCATATTCAGTCATTTTTAGCGACAAGCTATCTCTTGTCTAGTTTAAAACTCTGCTATCTCCCTTAGTGGCGTAGTATAGATTCCCTTGTGTAAACTTGTTTACCATCCATCCCTTTTTTAGCATATAAATCCCTATAAACTCAAAGAGAAGTGACTGCAAGAAGTTCAACCTTGCTAGATAAGGTGAAATCTTGCTCGAAGCTCTTTGTTTGTTTTCTAAATTTGTAGATGTATTACTTAATGCATTCTCCATTATGTATTTAAGTTATTTCCATCAGTTTTCCTATTTTAAGAGTTCCATGTGCATCTGGATCTGGTTAGTTTAATGGATATGTTGTCATTAAAATCAATCAAGAACCAAGCAAATGGCTTAAAGGGATATGGACTCTCTTCATTCGAACATACAAGACTATGAACTAAAAATCCTTGTTTACAAGACAAGAAAAAGAACTTAATGTGGACTTAACTCATCCACGACAATCCTTTAATAACAAGAAGTCTGAGTAACTTGGGGAGCAAGAAATCGACTTAAAACACACTTGTTCTACATCTGCTATACTAAGATAGCAGTGACACGCCTAGCACTTAGTTTTGATTGTGAACCTCAATGCCTACACCTAAGGCCCTACAAATGCACCTTTTAGAACTATGTCCTATTCTTGTAGCACATCAACAAGCAAGAGCCCGACTACACATCTAAAGTGCCAATCCCTTGAGAAGCTGTGCTGAGTTCTGAGGATCCTTCTCAAGAGAAATCTTCGTCCGAACATTAACACTTAAAGGCTGGGATTGGTGAACATTGATTACTAAAAATGGAAAACACATGTAGCCCTTTCAGACTTGTGTTAATTTGGGTGGAGGGGACTAAAATAGAGTCCAATTGTAAACACTTTGTAGTAATGACTGGATATGTAAATATTGTTTTCAATGTGCTAATACGATGAGAAACATAACTGTTCTATAAATAGTAAGGGAGGAAATATGATGGAAGGTATATCGAAATCTGATGGTCATATGTAGAGAAAAGTCCACATTGCTGATTAACGCATGGTATTTTCAACAAATCAACACTTGAAGTTGCAGGAAAAATAAAAGAATCAATTTATGAGCAGTTGCAAGAATCATTATTCGTAAAAAAAGTTATTGATTCAAATATAGACAAATGAAACTGACTGAAAAAGAAAGGCTTACCAAATGTTGGCCCAAATTGAGCTCAAAATGAGTGTAGTTATGGAAATTCCCTTTAATACTGTGCTGAAGAGATGTAAAAAGTAAATTTATAGACACTAGAATTATATTATGAACAAAATAAGGATAATGCGTGTTTACCTAGTGTTTTTATGTGTAGAAAGAAGTCTGATTTTGAAATGGAGATAACCTTCTTTGGCAATTCTATAGGACACGATCAAATTTTTGTGTGTTTCCAACTTGCCTTGTAACCAAGTTTCTACAAAAACAGATTGAATTAAAGAAAGTAATTAGACCAAGGCATAAGAGATTATAAGAAAAAGAATAGAAGATATAAACCACATATACCACTTATTATACTACTTTGTATTCCGAACACACCTAAAAATATATCGATTTCTAGTGAATGGTTCGGTTCCAATTAAAGAGGGCTCTTCCAACACCTTGAAATGTCAAGAGTTAAAAAAGAGCAAGAAAAAACTAATGTAAGAGCTCTATAAAATTGAGGCTGAGCATATTACCTTATAGGGCCTCTTTAAAATCAGGTGGACCAAGTTCTATTGCCATGGTTTCATCATTCAATTTGTCAACCATCTAGAAAATGAAGAGAGAGTATCTACATATAAGTAAAATCAGAAAAGTAATAGCAAAAAATGAGTTAGTTGTTTAAAACAACGATCTAGCTAAGACAACATCCATGCCTGCATATAATTCACAACTTCTAAGACAGAACAGTGTAATAAGGAATTTCCACCAAGTTCCTTTTCAGAGATCCACCAGCCCCTCTAAAAAATCCCACTTCAATGAAAAGGAAGTTAGGCCACACTATAAAATGCACTACTCCAGCTTTTTTTAAAAAAATGATATTCTAAGAAGCTAAATGCTTGAAGAACCTAAGAAGAAGATAATATATAAATTTATAAAACATTGTAATATTAAATCTACATATACTAAAGTAAAGTTATCGTAAATGCCCAAAAATAAATCTAAACAAAAACCAAATGGTTATCGAACGGTTCCTAAAGGAATACACATTTTGGACTTATTAAATGGAGTTTTCAAGACCTTCGACTAAGTGAAACTAATATACAAATACTAAAGAATAATATCACATAGCCTTACCTCAATCTTCTCAAAATTGATCATGACAACCCCTTTTGTACCACATGGAATATCCCTTACCTACAATGTTGCTAACAGATGCTTTCAAAACTATAATGCATGGAAAGACAGAATCCTCAATCTTCCAAACATGGATTACCAAAGTTACCTGATCAATATGCAGGGTCACTTGAACATATTCAAAATGGGGTGACCAGAGGCAGCTTGAGATGAAAACCTGAAATTTGAAGCAGGCAAAGTTAAAGCCCTATTCAAGAAACTTCTCAATGTACATCAGCTGGATCTGTAACTGTCTTTAGAAGAGCACCTCCTCTCCAATATACCCCAAAATGACCTTCTAGGACTTGGTGCATAATTGATATAGTTGATGATGTTGGAAGAACCGTCTGTAAACATCAAGACGTCCCAGTTTTAAGAATTTAGCATACTAATCGAAGTTCCCCAACTAGCATATCATAATATTTAGCAAAACCACAATCCAAGTCTATTGCAACTATTATTATAGAAAACAAAAAATTCCGAGAAAAACCTTCAATTCGATGCATTATTGGGACATCGTATAACTCTAATTCTTAATCAACTAATACAAATATTAGATAAAGGATTGATGAAGTCACCAGATGCATTTTATTGCACATGATCATGCTTAGCAAACATATGATCATTAATGACATGACAAAAAAATGCATTACGAAACTGTAAAAAACCAAAATTAATACTTTAACACAAATATATGCATTAAGTGGAAATCAAGAACATATACATGAAACTCAAAATAGAGGAATTACTTAACCATAATAAAACCTAAAAGTGAAACAAATTGATGAACAACTGAGTTAGTACTACATATCAAGTGATGGATTAAGCTTGAAGATAAAATGCAATTAAATACACGAATGTCGAAGAAATATAAAGCAAATTCGCAATGACAAAGAAGACCTAGCCGTAGTTCCGAGTTGGAGAGCAAAGTATAAAGTGTGAGAGGGTTACCACGGCTAAAATGGCGAGGAAAGCGAAGAGGACAAGGAAAATGATGGAGGAATCGCCGCCGCTGCCGCCTTGAGGTGGTGGCTAAGGGCAATTATGTGGAATACCTAGTCTCTGCTGGTTTGGATCCATAATTAAGCAACAAATCGCCCAAAACAATCAAAAGACAACTCAAAAAACCCAAATACAACACCCACATCACTCGATAAACGGTGGCCACCAGAAAAAACTAATACCTGAGAAAAACTCAATTGCCATAACTGGAAATTGCGACCATAAAGCCGTTCAAATCCTGACCACAATGTCGTTGAAGCGCTGCAAAAATAACCAAAGAAAAACACAAAGTCATAGCCTGCTGTAATACTAACAAAAAAAAATAAAAAAAATAAGGGGGTGTATTCAATTGGAATTTTGAGGGAATTTAATTCTTTTAATGAATCTGGATGTATTCAATCAGGATTTTAAAGACGTTTATAGCATTTTAGGTGTATTCAATTAGAATTTGATTTTAAAGAATTTGAAAAAGTTGAGGAATTAGAGAGAATTGAAGAGATTTCATAATGTATTTTAAGTTTCCACAAATCTCATATCTTCCCATGAGATTTTGAGGGAATTGAAGGAATTGAATCAAAATTTTACATAAAATCTCTACAAATCAATTAATCTCCATAAAAATTCATGGATTTATAAATCCATTTAAATCTTTGAAATTCCTAATTAAATACACCCCATAAAACATCCCGATTTGGAATAAAAAAGTGCAAACAAAACGGCTAAAAAAAAAAAGAAGATGAAAACCCATCGCCGAAACAACACTACTGCAACAACAAAAACCGAAATGAAAAACCAAAGGTCCAAACGAAAACGAAAAACATAACAAAAACAGAATGAACGGCAAAGAAAATTGACCAACCAAATTAAAAATTAAAAAATCCAGCAAACTCGCATAAAAAAAATTAAAAATTTCTGACAGCAAACGGAATCTAACGGCATGTCAAAGAACTCACCATGATGCCCTGTGGATTAGCAAACATTGTTGGAGAAGAAGAGAGAAGGATAACACACCAGGAAACCCTAGCTTTTTTGGGTAAGAAAACTCATTCCAATCAACCTGAGAAACTGAAGAAGCATACTTGAGTTCAATAAAAATCGAAATTTCAGCAAGCTTTCTCACCTGGAAACGTTGGATTAGATCAGCCCAGAACAAATTCTGATCGAATTAAAAATGGGTAGAAGTTTCTAACCCCTCATTGATTTTCAAGAAAACAACTTCGATAACTAATTCGCGAACAACAAAGCAAGAGGCTGAATCATTTGAACAACCAAAAAGATGAAGCGGTACGGCTAGAGAAAACAAATCGGAGACGGAAGGATAACACCACCACATTCACCCCCAATTATATATATAAATTGCACAGGACTTTCATCTACTTGTCTACAAGCAACATGCTGTTTGCTGTTTCTTTGTCATTGTAAATTAGATTTCTGCATGCTTAACCTCTATTAAGGAAACAGTTTGATATGAGTGATCTCATGTTTTCTATTAGAATGGTCGCCGAGTCAAAAATATCGAGGCATGGGATCTCTTGAAGCAAGTACAAAAGGGAGTGATCAGAGATACTTGGGCGATACAGATAAGCTGAAAATTGCAAGGGGGTAGTTGGGACAGTTGCAGACACAGGTTCTGTTTTGGAGTTCATACCATACACAATGCAAGCTGTGAAACAAGGTTTCCATTATCTTGGTGCTTCTTCATTGCAGTCTGCTCATGACCTCTTAAAATCAAGCGTTTTAAGGCTAGAGTTAAGTAGACCATTTTGCAGACGTTGTTGCGTTACTCATATCATTGTTATTAAGGATGTCTTTTTAATTCTATGCTTTGAATGAGAATTGATATTGTTGGTATATGGTCCAGCCCATGATGAATGTTCTAGATTATTCTAGTAAGTGAGGTGGCTGGAGCATGCTAGACAATTCTAGCAAGTTATTAAGTTAGTGGAAGAAGCTAGAAATAGTACTAGCTTCCTTGGTTGCAAATGGAAGGATCTAGAAGCTACAATTTTGTGGCTAGTCTAGAATTATCTAAGCTAGAAGTTTGTAGAATATACCAGAAACTAGAAACTAGTTCTAGTTTGTAGAAGGAACTAGAAACTAGTAGAATGCCAAGCCCTCACCTATAAATATGGGTGTGATGTTGTAGTGATGTAACCAATCAAGAACCAAGTGTGAGTAGAAGGGGATCAAGTCCAAACCTAGAGTTCCACTCCAAGAGTGAGAGTGAGAGTGTTCCACTACACGTTATGAGTGAAGTTTAGAGTGATAGAAAGTGTGTGTTATACTTTCTTGTATCCATCAAGCCTTGTCTTTGGCTTGGTAAGACTACTCTTGTTGTACTCATCTTTTTCATATAGTGAAGACTGATCTTTGTTTTGTGGACATAGGCATAAATTGCCAAACCACATAAATTCTTGGTGTCCATTTTCTACTTTACTTTGTGCATTCTCTGTCTTGTAGTACCGACATTCCTAACAAGTGGTATTAGAGCTTGATTGGCTCGTACTATGAGATGGAAGGAAGTGGCACTATGATCAAACTCACCAACTCCAATTGGGTAACATGGAAGCCAAGGATGGAGGACATTCTCTATTGCAATGATCTGCATGAGCCAATTGAAGGAGATGCCGCTAAGCCTGAAAGCATGTTTAATGCCGAGTGGAAGAAGATGAATCGCAAGGCAATTGGCACAATTAGACAATGGGTGGATGATAGTGTTTTTCACCATGTGTCTAATGAAACCAATGCCCGCGAGTTTTGGACGAAGCTTGAGTCCTTGTTCGAGAAAAAGACCCCAACCAAGAAAGCCTTCTTGATCAAAGAGCTCATCAATGTGAACTACAAGGATGGTTTAAGTGTAGCAGAACACTTGAACAATTTCCAAAATACATCAACCAGTTGGCTACTATGAACATGACAATTAAGGACGAGTTTTGGACGAAGCTTGAGTCCTTGTTCGAGAAAAAGACCCCAACCAAGAAAGCCTTCTTGATCAAAGAGCTCATCAATGTGAACTACAAGGATGGTTTAAGTGTAGCAGAACACTTGAACAATTTCCAAAATACATCAACCAGTTGGCTACTATGAACATGACAATTAAGGACGAGCTGCAAGCGCTCTTGTTACTTGGATCCTTGCCAGATAGTTGGGAGACCTTTGTGGTGAGTGTAAGTAACTCTGCTCCTAATGGTGTTCTTGCTCTTAATAATGTTAAAAATAGCATGCTCAATGAAGAAACAAGGAGAAAGACTTATGGCACAGATAGCAGCCAAGTATTTGTCATAGAGAACTGCAAAAGAAGCAAGAGTATAGGGCCTAGAGGTCATGGCAAGAGTCCTAGCCGATCCAAGTCAAGGTTCAGGGGTGCATGCCATCATTGTGGCAAAGAATATGAAGAAAAATTGTCAAGTTTGGAAGAGAGAGCAAAGGGAAGGAAACAATAAGAAGAAAGATGATACTGACAATACCACCGCTGTCATATGTGGTGATGTACCATAAATATTATCTGTTGGTGAATGTCTGCATATAGGTGATTCTGATAGAGACATTGAATGGATCTTTGACAATGGAGCTTCCTTCCATGCTACATCCAAACGGGAGTTCTTCAGTACGTACAAAGAAGGTGACTTTGGCATAGTGAAGATGGGGAATAAAAGCTATTCCAAAGTTCTTGGAATTGGTGATATTTGCCTAAGAACTAACCTTGGCTGCCAGTTGATGTTGAAAGATGTAAGAAATATTCCTGACATACGTCTCAATCTGATATCCATTGGTACCCTTGATCGACAAGGTTATTATCACCATATTGGTGAAGGAAAATTGAAGCTCACTAAAGGCTTAATGGTGGTAGCAAGAGCACGACTTTGTTGTACGTTGTCCAGTCAAATGCCAAGGTTTTGAAAGTCAGGTGTATGCTGAGGACTGCAAAGTTATCTAAGCAGTTTTGGGGTGAAGCTGTAAGGACAGTCTGCTATTTGATCAACCGATCTCCATCAGTACCATTAGGTCTTGATGTTCTAGAGAGAGTATGGATTGGTAATGATGTGTCTTACTTTTATCTGAAGGTGTTTGGTTGTAAAGCTTTTGTGCATGTGCCCAAAGAGCAGAGATCGAAGTTAGACTACAAAGCTACACCGTGCATCTTTCTTGGTTATGGCGGTGAAGATTTTGGTTACAGATTATGGGACCCATACCAGAAGAAGTTTATCAGAAGCAGAGATGTGATATTTTATGAAGACCAAATAATTGGGGATTCAGATAAAGAGGCACAACCAGATGGTGCAGTCAGAGGAGTTGATCCATTAACTTCAGATGAAGAAAGTCACAGTGACATCTCTAAAGTAGTTGCCAATGAAGTGCCTGCAGAACCAGATAATGCTGATCATGGGGAGCCTGATCAAGATGAATCAGACCATGAAATTGCTGATCAGGGGGAGCCTGAATGGCAGATTCAAGGGGAACCCAATCAAAGGGAGCCTTGAGCCCCGCAAGAGAATGAAGACCAAGTCAGAAGATCCAGCAGAAGTCGAAGACCGTCTACCAAGTATTCTTCATTAGAGTTTATCATGTTGACTAATTATGGAGATCCTGAAACTTATGAGGAGGCCAAAGCTCATAATGACAGTGACAAATGGATGAAGGCAATGGAGTCAGAGATGGATTTTTTATTAAAGAATGATACCTAAGAGCTGGTGGAGGTTCCAAAGAAAAGCATTGAAAAATAAATGGGTGTTCAAATTGAAAAAAGACGACAACATGACAAGGTACAAGGCTCGTTTGTTTGTCAAAGGTTTTGGTCAAAAGAAAGGAGTTGACTTTGATGAGATTTTCTCACCGGTGGTGAAGATGACTTCTATTCTAGTTATCCTTGGTATAGCAGCAAGCATGGATCTTGAGCTTAAGCAGTTAGACGTTAAAACTGCATTTCTCCATGGCAATTTAGAAGAGGAGATATACATGGAGCAACCCAAAGGCTTTGAAGTCAAAGGTAAAGAAAATTTGGTGTGCAAGCTGAATAAAAGCTTATATGGTCTTAAGTAGGCTTCGAGACAGTGGAATAAGAAGTCCAACTCATTCATGGTGAGTAATGGGTACAAGAGAACTCATGCTGACTCTTGTGTCTATATCAAACAATTTTATGGAGGTAAATTCATCATTTTATTGCTTTATGTTGATGACATGTTGATTGTCGGTCAATATGCTTCTATGATTAAAAAGCTCAAAGAAGAGTTATCTAAGTCCTTTGACATGAAGGACTTAGGGCTAAGCCAAGCAG